AGTTACAGTTAAACACATACAGTTACAGTTAAACACATACAGGTACACATGTACCCAGACAATCGGTATAATTCACAATGCTAGAAAAATATTGTATATCTGATCCTGATTTTCCTACAACTAGAATAACTCTGTCCATGAAGGAGACTGATTCAGATTTTCATTATTATTTTGGCATCAATAGAGGATCCCCAGGTGAGTCAAAAAAAAAAAGTTACAAAGATAGGTGCACCTTTTAAAATTAAATATTGTGTATACTAGGGGTGTCAAACTGATGGGTAGCGGGCCAGATGTGTCACACACAGGCCACGCTCACCCTAACTCCGTGAAAAGGAAAAACGTCACGAAATGCCACGCGATGGCAACGTGATGCGGCAAGTTTGACACCCATGGTATATACTCTCTTTGTATGTATTGTATACGTGTGTGTATACCATTAAAATATAATTTGTTCTTAGTTAATCCATAATGGTAAGTGTTCCTGTCTTGAGGGGTCCTTGGTGCTCTCTGAGCCTGCTTGTTTTCTTGCAGACATCATCATCATGATGTTACCTGCAAGCAAGCTCAGAGAGCACCAAGGACCTCTCATTTCAACCCTAAGCTACAAATATTCTCCTTTATTGGATCCTGTCTTCTCCCAACTAATATTTGCAAAATGTAATCCACTTCTTCGTTCTTGGAGGGGCTTTTTTTTAATCTCTATGTTACACAATTTTAAGCAACTGCACCATGTTAAGACACAATTAAGCAAAGGTTCAAAGTTCTGTGAGTTGAAGATACTTCGTTCTAAACCTTACCTGATAACAGAAATATCACCAGAAGTAGATTTTAGCTGGCAGGTCTTTCTGGGATTATTTAATACCACAAGCCAACTCTCCAATCCACTACATAGTTAGATTCCATTCTGCTGTTGGATGTCACCTCTGCAGCATCCTCTCCATGTGAATCAGCTTTGGAGTTTAGCTTTGTTTGCCATGCCTGTTACACGAATAGCAAAAACTGAACCATCTGTCTTTTATTATTCTTGTTTTTAGAAACTCATATACTATATTTTACATTAGCTGTAATTAGTACAACTATGTATCAATCAGGAAATTAGGTTTAGACATTTCTCCCTGACATGAGCACCGAATAGGAAATGTTCCTTTGATTTTTGCATGCTACACAAAGCAGAATAGCCACTAATGCTCACTCGATTGTGTGCTTTTATACCTGTTTCAGCACTTGACCGGGTAAAGCAAACTTCATTATCAGTCCAACTAACAAAACCACCTTGTTCTTTATGATGACATGAAAAGATTTTTTCCCCAATGTACAAATAAAAAGAACAAGTCTAGGCTTAGACAGATCATTGCTTCTACCAAGTATTAGTAAATGTGGCAATAATTTTAGTAGTTAAACTGCATTTGAAAAAAACTTCTTTGTACTATTTTTTTTAAATCAGAACTGGTAAAGAAACTGCTAATGAAAGTAATTGAGTTTCAAGTTGTAGATGTACATAATTGTACTTTGGGAGTCACACTCTCATATATGGAAAGGATGAAACATTATTTTAATCAGATAGAATAAATCTATTCTGAACATTTTCCAGAGTTCATGAACAAATTGGTGTTAGTCAGCTTGATCATATGGATATATTCATTAGACAGTCATTGTGCTTGTGACTGTATCACATTTTTGCACCCAATTCTAGCATCTTCATCAAGAATGTGTTCATGTGACTAGTGATTCAGGATAAGCTGACCCAGAAGTAACCCCAGCAAAATATATCAACTCAATTGAAATAATCCTCATCTACTCTCATCAACAGGTTAACCTTTAGAATTGGCCTTAGGAAGAGTTTTGATAGACGTCTACCCAAGGTAAGAGCAAATGCTCACAATCTTTGCATCCTCAGCCATGTATTTCCCCAACCAGTGGTTCAAAATAATTTGAGTTATCTCTGCACATGGTGGGGAGTTATAGAAAACCTGGAAGAGAATATTCTGAGGACCAATGTACACGTGCATATATATGAGTATAAGGAATGTGAGAAAGAGGGAGAGAAAGAAAAAGTGCTTAGATGAATTCCATATCAGAATCCATTTAAAAGTATTATTTGAGGGGATCATATCAATTTAAAATAGTCTTTTGATTTATGTTGATCACATCACATATGTAGGCCCTCACTGGATGTTGTAATGATGATCATGTGTCTATGAATGCTAATTCATTACTGGCAATGCTATCTTTTTAAAACTAGATGCTATATTTTTTGCTTTTCTTTTCTTTTTTGCTTTTTAATTAGGTTGATCAAAATGACAGAAGACCCAGTGTCAGGGAGTTGGAAACCCACAACGCTATCTGAAAATGCTAACAATAATGTAATTCCCATGCATGCAGCAACTCAGGTATTTGTTATTGCTGTTGTTATTGTTGTTATTTTATAGTTAAGTTTGTGATTTGGTTACTTTCATATATCCATAAGTCTTCCCCAGTCTGGCGAATCTCCCTTGAAATCCAGTGGAACATTCTAAAATATGGAGCTATTGCAGAAAATTCTGAACTACAACTCCCACCACCGCTCACTACTGATTATGCTAAGTGGAGCTGTAGTTCTCTAAACCAGTGATCCCCAACCTTTTTTATGCCGCGGCCCGGTACCGGCATCAGCTGGGCGCCGCAGCCCGGTACCGGCATCAGCTGGGCGCCGCCATCTTTTTTTGATGAAAAAGTGCTTCCGGTGAGCTTTCTACCCGGAAAAGCTCACCGGAAGCACTTTTTCATCAAAAAAAGATGGCGCCGCCCAGCAAGCCAGCGGCCCGGTAGGACTTGTTCCGCGGACCGGTGGTTGGGGACCCCTGCTCTAAACCACTAAACTCCGCATCCAATTTACTCTACAGTGACCAATCCAATGGACCGTTGTTCTATTAATTTTGCGCAGAAAAGAGGAGTTGAGCTTGACCTCTGCGATTTAATGGACACTTCTGTATAGTTTTTTGAGAAGGGTAAAGAAATATGCAGCATTTTTAAAGGAGGTGAATTTTATGCTTTGGATCATTAGAAAAGATTGACTGTAAACTGGTTCTGATATTAGTGGCCTCACATAAAACTATGGAGTTGTTACATCTAGAATACTGTGTACAGTACAATATTCTAGTCACCATATCTCAAGAGGAGTACTATATTGCTGGGAAGGTGGGGAAAGGGTAAACTAGAAGATAAGGGGTTTGAACGAGAATAGGATGCAGTGATTGGGACTGTATAGCCGGGAGAAATGACACAAGAAGATATGACTAAGATGCATGAAGGTGTGCACAGTGATAAGAAGTTCTCCATATCCCATAATACTAGACTAGAAACTGTTTTATGAAAGTGCTAGCAGATTTAAAATTGATGCTTTTCCATACTATGTATAATCAACTTTTAGAATGTGCTGCTTCAGGACATATTGGCTGCTAGTTTACAAGTCTTTAAAAACAGCTTTAATTATTGGCTGCTGCCTGTTAACATTCTAGATTCATGGAGTTGACAGTAGGAGAAGAAACTTGGTACTCTATCTGTGGGATGCTTACTTGTTAGATGCTTCTTATGAATTGTTCCTGAGATGGAATGTTGGCTAGATGGTTCTCATGATCAAACATTGACATTTTCCAGGATGTTTTTTCAACTTCCCAGTCTGCCTGGTATTCCCATAAGTCTCACTACCAGGCCAGACTAGGTAATGATTTTGAGTAATGAGGTGCACAGGGATAATATATATGCACTATGAGCTGTGGTGGTACAGTGGTTAGATTGCACTACTGCAGGCTAATTCCACTAACTGCCAGCAGTTTGGCAGTTTGAATCTCACCAGGTTCAAGGTTGACTCAGCCTTCCATCCTTCCGAGGTCAGTAAAATGTGGACCCGGATTGTTGGGGGCAATAGGCTGACTCCATAAACCACTTAAGAGAATGCTGTAAAGCACTGTGGATGGTATATAAGTCTAAGTGCTATTGCTATTGTAGCAGTTTCATACACATAGTCCTCAACTTACAACCACAATTGCTACTGGAATTTTAGTTGCTAAGTGATGTGGTCATTTTACCACCATCATTAAGCAAATCACACATTTAAGCAACTGACATGATTGTTAAATGAATCAAGTGGTTGTTAAGCTTCCCCAATTGACTTTTGTCAGAAGCTTCCTGAGAAGGTTGCAAATTACAATATGTGACTGCAAGACTTTGCAATCATTATACGTAAGCAGGAGCCAGCTGCCAGGCTCCTGAATTGTGTACCCCTCCTGAAGTTGGGAAATTCACAGCCTGTGGGTTACCTACCTCTAACTTGAATGGAGGGGGGGAATGATCATGTTAAACTTCCATCAATAATAGTACAACAATAACACTGTATTTCCTAAAGCTAGCTGTGAAACTGATTAGTGATAAACTCAAAGCTGCTCCATGTTTTTAAGCAGGAGTAAATTGTATCAAGACAAACTCTGCAGTTATAAACCACAAAACTTCTTTGTCCTACCTATCACTCTCCAAAGAAATGGGAGTACATCTTATTTTATCTATTGTATGGGCATTACGCATAATGCTTGCAAAGTCTTGCAGCACTCTATAGCGTCATTTTGAGGGTAGGAATTGAAACAGTTTATGTCCGGGATGTGAGGGGTCTGTAAATATTTTCATAGCTCTCTTTTTGACTCGTGCAGTATACAGGTCCACGATTGAAGGCAGGTTGATAGTAATTGTTATTTTCTACAGTCCTAATTACTCTCTGAAGTCTGTGTCTGTCTTGTTGTGTTGCAGAACCAAACCAGACAGTTATAGAGGTGCAGATGATAGACTCAGTAATTCCTCTGTAGAACTGTATTAGCAGCTCCTTGGGCAGTTTGAGCTTTCTGAGTTGGCACAGAAAGAACATTCTTTGTTGTGCTTTTTTGATGACGTTTTTGATGTTAGGTGTCCATTTTAGGTCTTATGATATGATAGAACCTAGCAACTTGAAGGTCTCTACTGTTGATACTGTGTTGTCTAGTATTGTAAGGGGAAGGTTTCTAAAGTCTACCATGATTTCTACAGTTTTGAGTGTGTTCAGTTCCAGATTTTACGGTTACACCAACAAGGCAAGTTGTACATCCTCCTGTCTGTATGCGGATTCGTCGTTGTCTCAAATGAGACCAATCACTGTTGTATCATCTGCAAATAGACCAGAAGTGAGCATAAAAGTCAGACAAATGTATCTAAAAATAATTCATTTAGAACTAAAATCATAAAGGACCTTCAGATTTCATAAACAAGCATATTGATCAACCGCTGTTCTTGTCTGGATATAATTCAACTGTTTCAAGCTACTCTTACTCAATTTGGTGCCATTATTAGAATTTATGGATAGAAGAATTTTCTCCAGACTGATAGCCATCAGACAAAATTTTACTTAGAATTAAATCTCACTGAGTTCATTAATTTTTGAAAATTGAAAAAAAATTAGGACTTAGATGGTTGTCACTAATATTATTTCTTGATTTCTACTCAGGATGTTTTGGATTCCGGAGTCAACAGTGGCATTGTACAAACAAAAGAAACAGCTCCATTGAACAGATGCGAGGAATATGCTCAGGGACCTCTAGCTCAAGTTAAAACTTCAGGGAGACAAATATGTGTTTGTCCTCCTCAAGGCATCCTTGCTAAAATAGCAACAAACGGTGAGGGGGGGGGGAGAACAAAGAAAAAAGCCCCTGTTTTCTGTAGAGAATATTTATTTGATGTATTATATTTTAATCTGTTCTAGAATATGTCAACATGGGAAAATTGCTCTGAAGAAACTGTGACTTGCCCTTCAGACTTCTTACAATTCATGCTGGGTGGTGCATGCAGAAAAGTATAGGAGTAATGGAATATATCATTCCAGTTCCTTTCTTCCACACCCATTTCTTGTCAGCCTTATCTTCCAATTAGCTGTCTGACTTACTCATAGGTTAATGAGTGACTAGTGAAATTGTAAATTCTACCCAATAGGAAAGTATTGATTGATCACAATGCTGGTTCCCTTGGGCGATGAAAATAGTCCCTAACAAGTTGGACTCTCTTCAGTCTCGTTCTGTTCCACAGAGTAGAAGGGGTTATTTAGGCTACTGAATCAAATAGTCTTGGAGTTCCATTTTTGCAGCTCCCTGCCTCTGTCCAACTATTCTGCAAAGGTTGCTAATCTGACTGATAAAAATCAACAGCATATATTCTTGCAATTTGAGGACAGAGTATTACAATATATTGATTCTGGGAACTCTAAAATCAGCACAATATTATAGTATTAAAACAAGGGGGTGAAAGTTGGGATTAATTGTTAACCTTTCCCAAAGCAAAGCTTGCAAATTCATACCTCTTATTTCACATTATTGTTCCATACCCCTTGTGTACATTTCAGCCTTTAGACCCCTTTAATATATTCAGTAAGTATATCAGTCACCACCACCTTTCCCCAATATTCTATATTACAAATTCTGATTCATTTCCTTGGGTAGTTATGCACAATGTATTTTAGGCCAAGGCAAGGGTGTTATGGTGGTGTTTTAAAAAATAAAAATGACATTTTCACCCACAAAGCCCTGCCTTCTCTTTTTATGTGTCACATGGTGACATGATCTTTTGATTCCCTTTCCATGGATGCCTCTGACCAAGGGCCATATTTGATATTTTAATTTTATGATGAAGATAATATTCCAAGAAATGGGGGATGATTAACACAATTACTTCTCATACATTCAGTCTGCCACTTTGAAAATTACAGTTTGATAAAAGTTACAGTAGTCTATGCTCCATTTTCCATCATTTGTTTGCATTTTGTGGCATGTCTAATTGGTAAGAAAGGATTGTGCAGATTTATAGCCACAAATGGGAAGATACTGTTCTTCGAAGCACAGGTTTGCTTTTTCCAATTTTTTGTTTTTAAGTCACAATCAAGATGCAATTTAGCAATGAATACTTAAAAATAAATAATAATCCTTCATACATTAATATAAATGTGTCAATAAATTCTGGGCAATATTTTCAATATGCTTACATATTTTACACTTTTTTCTTCTTCCAGTGGTAGCAGTAGCATTGATCTGGGCTGTGATCTGGTCTATTACAACCCACGAAAGTCTTCCTGGTGGAAGCCTCTTTGGATTTTTATTCCTCTATCTTTTTGCTGTAATTGGTGGTAAAATTATGGGCTTAATTAAATTTCCTGGTCTGCCTCCTCTCCCTCCTCTTTTGGGTAAGTATGTTTTTGATAGGCTGTATCTTTTCACATTTAGATTGGTTATTGAAATAAAGAATCCATTGTGAAATTGCTATATAATACAAATTTATATCATTAAGATACAATTGATTGGAAAACGCAATATTACTTGGTGAATATATTTTAATTACTGAGAAAGTTACTTAAGTCGACTTGTTTTTATTTATTTTTTTATGTATTCATTAAATTTGTATGCTGCCCATCTCACCATGGAAAGGAATGGGTAGTGACTCTGAGTGGATTTGGATTGCTATTTGATTTTGTGTTTTGAGATGAAATTAATTGGAATAACTCCTATAATAGGGGATCTTAAAATAAATAGTTATAAATGGACTTTAAAATGGTAAGTCTTAGTGGTACAAATTAAAAAGCAACAGCTCAGTTTACAAAAATGTTTCTATTTCTCAAATAAGTATTCATCTTGATCTTTAAATAGTTTGAAAAATGAATTGATCATCCCCTTTAAAAGTAAATTATCAACTAATATTTTTTTCAGTTTACAGCCTCAATTTGTATTTGTTTCACTAACAAGTTTCTAGGGATCCATCATGGGTGTGCAGCCTGCAGATTATTTAAATTAATTAGCTTTTTAAAAAAAAACACAATTCCTTTATTCTGAATTTACTATGTTTTGGGCCCAGGGATGGGTCAATGCAGTAAGTACTTTACTTTTCAAATTCCCTTAAGTCCCATTTGGTGTTTTAACCCTAACCCAGTTATTAAGGGTTCACACAAAATATTGACCCATAAGCTAAACTAAGAGGTAGGTTTGCATATGAAGCTAAATTAGACATACACAAAAAACAATTCAAAACAAAAACCCCAAAGTCAGCTTAGTGGGCAGTGTAGTATTCTAGTTTAGATTGTTGTGTGAATGCAGTCATATTGTTCAGTTCATCCTGTGATAGCAGCTTAAAAAGTTTGATATTACAACTCTATGTATGATTGATTTATAGTTTTTGATGATTAGGCTCTAATCATCAAAGAAATGTATGTTCACACAACATGCAAATCCATGCTGCTAACTATAGTTTTCGAATAATACTACCATATTTTGGCTTATCATGACTAGACTTAGCACATTTGTTTCCTCTCAGAATGTGGATGAAGTCCCGCATCATGCTAAATAATAGCTTATTTAACCATGCTGTATATACTGCTATTTAATAAAACCCCATGGCTGGTTCTACATAATATGCAGTACAAACCATTTGTATAGCATATTGTATAAATCAAACAAACTTGGTTTAACATGCTCAGTATCTTTTCATCTAATTAGCTCTATAGAATTGTTAAATTTATTTAAAAAATAGTGGAATACAAATTTGTACATATTTATTCAGGAGGAAAACATTTTCTGTGGCGTTCAGAGATCAGGAAATGGGACTCTTTATAAGATTGCAGGAATATGATTCTTTGACTTCATGATCACAGGACAGCTGTTGCCTTTTTAAATGCTTGGTTCAAGTAGTGTACAGAGAAGGAAAACATCTTTGAAGGTCCTGGACCTCATAGCAAATGTTTCAGACTTTGTAGCTGCCAGTTGTGTCAATCAATAATATGCACCTTTTGCCTTCTGTTTAGGAATGTTGCTTGTTGGATTTCTTCTAAGAAACATCCCAGTGATCACTGACATAGTCCTGATCAATGTGAAATGGGGAGCCACACTAAGAAGTATTGCTCTCGCAATCATTTTGGCCCGGGCTGGCCTTGGCCTTGATCCAAAGGTGGAGTATCAAATGGTCCTTGCTTAACAAATGCACAGCCGGGTGTGATTAAACTCTGATTCATGTATTGAACTAGGTCACAATTTTGTTAACCCTGGCTTATTGAGAAACAAAAGTAGCTCGAGCTGCAAAATAGATGACGGCATAGAATGTTCCTAAATTGCATTTTTCAAAATCTCTGTAGTCCTCTCGTAACATAATCACCCACTGGCTTGGTTCCCAATGAAACTAGTGGTGCCAGCTCTAAAATTGGCTTAAAATTGTTTTAAGAAACAAAACACTCCCTCTCTCCTTAGACCACCCCACCCAATACTGAAAGTCCTAGGTTCTCTTATATATATTTGATAAGGCTCCACCCTCTTTGCCTTGTTTCCTTACCCAATGCAACTCCAATTCTACCAAAAATTCACACACGTTTTGGCTACCAAATCCACACATTCAGATAATCATAAATCATAATTTGCAACTCTACCAATTGGGTTTATATGTCAGATATGGTGATTTAACTAATTTAACTAATTCATACAATGTGTGACCCCTGTCCTCATCTCAGATTAGTTTGGAACCATTTTCCCTCTAATGTATGGCTGTCAAGCTCGCGGCATGTGGGCCAGATGCATCACACACTGGCCACACCCACGCCTGGTTTAGCGAAGGGGGGGAAGTCTCAATATGTCATGTGACGCCACTGTGACAGTGTGAATTTGACATCCCTGCTCTAGTGCAAGACCAAATGCTCCTTCCAACCAAACTTTCCTTGTGACATCTGCCTTTTTAAAAAAATGTGGAAGAAATATTTTATGGAGATGAACATTTAACTACAAGGAGAACTTAAATGTTTCAACATTCCCCATCAAGTTTTTTCCTGAGGAGTTGGGCATAATTTCCAGGATTCCCAGCCAGTATATGTAGTCCCAGGACATGCGAAAGAACACTATTTCACTCCTGATCCTGTTTATCACTGGGTAAAAAATGAACTATATGCCCCTAGTAGAGCAGGGATATTATCCTTAAGTGCAAGTGAACTGTTTCTCTTATAAAAGATATTTGGGGATTTTGACCTAGAATGTGAGGTTTTGGAAAAACTTTGTAAAGAAAACAAAATTAAGTTTCCTTTCGGTAGATCTTGACATCTGACACATCCATGTGGTTTTCTTGGCAACAGATTGCTATTATCCTCTTCTGATAGAGTAGCCTATGTTTGTGGTATTTGGTTTTTTTTTTTAAAAAAAGCTTCATTTTGTTTTGTTCTGGAATTTGTCCAACATTACTTACTTTCTGAGGTCAGCAAGAAATATCAATGTGAAACTTAGTTTGGTCATATGTACTTGATCTTCAGGGTTATGATCAGTTTTGCCTTTAACTGAATTTAGTCTGCTTCTGATCCCTATTCACCTAGAAATTTTTAATTTCATTCAGAGGTAACACAAACTATGATTTATAGTAATGAGGCATAATTAGTTTAATGATTAGATATTCCTACCCTTTCTTCTTTTCCTGGGTAATTGTAAAAAATCAGAAACTTCTGCTTTTCACTGAGATTAGCTGACATTATCTAAATCCTGAACTGTGGCAACTTTTACTATATTAGCTCATAACACTACATATAACTCCACTATATTTAGCTCATAGCTCAGTTTCATAAATTTGTAAATTAAAATTGACTTTCTTCAGTTAGTGATAAGACTAATCTATTTTAGAACTTTAGCAATGTAGTGGATCTAAAGCTCTAGCATATTCTTCGAAACGCCATCTGTTAGTCATGCAAATTGATAGGAGCGTACCAGTGGTGGGATTCAAATTTTTTTACTACCAGTTCTGTGGGCATGGCTTGGTGGGCGTGGCAGGGATACTGTAAAAGGATACTGTAAAATCTCCACTCAGAGGTTGTATTTGCCAGTTCTCCAAACTACTCAAAATTTCCACTACCAGTTCTCCAGAACTGGTCAGAACCTCCTGAAAAATACCACCTCTGGAGCATACCTAAGCTTTTTTAAGGTTCAGTATTGCCATGATGCTAAGGCTGTGTTTGTACAATATATTATGTCACTCATGTAGTATATTATCTGAATCTGGACCATGTAGAGGCCTTAATCATAACCTGTAATCAAATTTACAATTAATGTATCTCAATCTAAGTTCCTCATGTCATCTAGGCTAATTAATCTGTATTGAACTTTTCTTTTCTGGCTTCTGGCCAAAAAGGTTGGAACTAGAATAGATGTAAAATACTGGGCTCCTTTTTGCGGATTTATTTTTTTTACTTTGTTATATAAAATTAAGAACATGTGTCAGATTAGACTTAATCCTTTATGCAAATACATTAAACCTGTGATATGTTAAATGTTGCCATATTATAGTTCTTAGCAGCCTGAGCCAGCATCTGCAATGGTGAAGAAAGCTGGAAACTGTAATTCAGCTAAGGTCTGGAGTGCTACAGTTTACCTGTTCCTGTTTTTTGCACCAGCAAAACCACTGTAAATTCATTACATAAGAGAAAATCCTCAGTCCTACCACCCTTTCTAAAGCAGCATGCTTACTACATGGGGCTTTTTACAGGTGGTAAAAAGCCAGTTGGGATCCCTGTGTTTATTTGTTGCCATCTAGTAGATACTCAGATTTTTTATGGCATCCCCATCATTTTGCAGAGCCAGTTTGATGCAGTGGTTAAGGCATCACGATAAAAACTGTTCTAGTTTTGCTTTTTTTACTTCCTTCTTTTGCTTCCTTCGTACCCCCAAGAAGGAAGCAATGGCAAACCACTTCTGAAATCTTGCCAAGAAAACCTCAGGGATTTGTCCACAGAATCTCCAGAGATCAAGAGTGACTCCAAGGCATAAAATAATAATAAAATAAAATAATAAATAAAATAAAATGTAACATATTGATCACACTACCTTAACACAGGTTGGCCAACAGGGAACTTAGATGCACCCTTTTTCTATCTGCATTACTTCTTACTAATTCAATTTATATGCCCTCCATTAGATATGTGACTCATTGCAGTGTACATAATTAAAAGTAACAAATAACCAATAAACATACACAGCAGAAAAAAAATCATTAAAACATAGTGCTTAGGAGGCTATTCAGATAACCAGAACAATGAAAAACTGTCTCATAAAACCACTTGAAGCAAGTCCTGGGCCATTGCCAAATAGAGCAAATCTCATAGGGTTTTCTTCTATGGTCTTCAAAACATTTAAAAAGCAATTCCACTGACTTGCAAATGCATTTATCTTGCAGGCTCTGAAAAAACTAAAGGGTGTCTGCTTTAGATTAAGCTTGGGACCCTGCCTAATAGAAGCAAGTACAGCGGCAGTCATATCTCATTTTCTCATGCACCTGCCATGGCAATGGGGATTTATGCTTGGGTAAGCCCTTCTTCCAATTCAAAAATAGCATTTTTTTCTTTTCTTTTCTGGGCCAAAACTGTCTTTCCTCTTCCATGAAGTCATGGGTACAGTGCCAGTGTCACATCTGATTTAGTTCGATTATGCTGTAAAACATATGTTCTTGTCACACCACAGAGGATTAGGGTAGGATTTGAAACTCTGTTCTATAAATATATCTGGAATTTACAAAGTTGCATATTTGATGAGAAAACATAGGTTAAATCATCTTTAATTTAAAGGAAAATTTTAATCTTGTTCAGAAGTCTTTAAAAACATCTTGCTAAGACGTATCTTTAACAAAATAATTTCTTAATAAACCATGACTGGATGGTTCACATAACATGCTGAACCACAAACGTGTAGTTTAACGGTGAAGCACTTAGATTAGAAGCAGAAAGATTCAGCTTCTAGTTCTTTCTCAGCCCCAAAAGCACTGTGGGTGATCAATTTATTTCACAGTGTTATTTTTCTCAGGGAAAATAGAAGAATGGAATGTTATATATAGCACCTTAAGCTCCTGAATCAAAGGTAGATTACAAATGATCAACAACTACTTTTATTTACAAACTCCAATAGTTGGGCTCATACATTAAACCAGAATAAACAATTATGATCTACAGTACTATATTATGTCAATCCAGTGTGCTTCAAGGAATCAACCTATATTCTTAAACATAAAATGGTTCTTAGTAACACCTTCCATCTTGAGTATTGCAATGGTCTCTGCACGAGGCTGCCCTTGAAAAGTAGCTGGAAGTTTTATTTGGTTCAAAATGCAGCAGGTGGTTTTGTGCAGGGTTACAATTGCAGGTGTGTCACTTCTCTTGCGGGAGCTGCATTGGCTGCCGATTTGGTTCCATATCAAAGTCAATGTGCTGGCTTGGGATCAAGTTATTTTGCCAATCAGATCTACCCAATACACCAGAGCAGGGAGACAAGGAATACTTCCTAAGGAGCTCCATCTGATGGGAGCAAGAAGGGCTTTCAACATCCTTGCACAGATAAGATTGGCCCCCACCTTGGCACTTTTTCACAAGGCCCTCAACATATGATTCTGCCAACAGGCCTAGGGACCCAGAATGGCATGGAGCCCATCAAATGGTTCAAAATTGTTGTCATCAGGAGGGTAGGGATTAATGCCATTTGTATTGTTAAAATTTATCCTTGTAAGCCACCTGGAGTCACTGGGATGAGTTGGGTAGCCATATAATTTTTCATAAATAAAATTAGTACTTTTATACTGTGATTTTTCAACTCACAATACAGTTCTTCAGTTTTCCCTTTCTCTTGTAAATTGCAGATCTTACTCTGACTGTGAAAAGTATAAGAAATAACTGCAAATTGATGTAACTAAAAGTTAACTTGTGTGTATGTCTTCAGATTTGTCTTAGGTGCTGTGTCTCCTGCAGTTGTAGTCCCGTCAATGTTGGTTTTACAAGCAGGAGGATATGGTGTTGACAAAGGTGTCCCAACTTTACTAATGGCTGCAGGAAGTTTTGACGACATTCTGGCTATCACAGGCTTCAACACATGCTTAGGGATAGCATTCGCTTCAGGTATCTGTCTATTCTATTGATAAGCCACATCCAAGCTACTGTCTTCTTTGTCATAATGCTAGTTTCTCCTATACAAGTAATATCCTTTGTATAAATAAAAACCCTTTTCATGCTGATTTTATGCCAAAATCTTTATTTGTGACACTGTACAATTAATAAAATTGGAAAGTTGTACCTGTGGTCAGGATGAACCTGAGACCTTAATGTACCTATTTACTTACTATCTGTTCTGTATACACTTATGTGACATATACTTCACCACCTAGTAGAGATCAAACTTTCAATGAAGAAGAAATGGTTTGTATTACAAATTATGTCACCAAGTTCTTATTGACAGGTATTGCCATTAAAAGGCATAATGCAGTAATTGTGAACATATTATAAGCATGTTACAGGTGACACACCATGCCATTCTGGTAACACTTGAGTCCTCTGAACTGTCTAGGACAGAGTTCCCCAAACTTTCTGGCTTTGCGGACCGGGGGGGGGGAACGGTTTCATGCAAGCGGCGGATAAGCGTGCACATGCACACAGCTCCACTTATGTGAGCACCATGCATGCATGCCTGCCGCTCTTGCAAATGAAGAGTGCGTGTAGGCGCTCACTCACTGCTAACATAAGGGAGATGCCAGCCATGCTTATAAATGCTAGCTGTGGAGACTATCCAAAAATCCATTGGAATCCTCTTTTTCTGCTTTGCTAAAACAGGTTCCACCCTTCAAAATGTCTTTCGGGGTATATTAGAAGTTGCAGTGGGTATAGCAGCAGGTGGACTTTTAGGCCTTTTTATTCGCTACTTTCCAAGCAAGGATCAGGTAAGGGGAAAAAAACCATTTGAAATGTAGCAGTCTTGTATTTGTTGAAGCATGAGAAGAAACAGCACATTTAAAACAAACTCCCTGTCACACTTTAGCTGGAATAATAGGTATAATAATTAGTATCTGTCAGAGTTGCAAATACCAGCACAACATCACTACGTTGTTCATTGACATTGTTGATCTTTGTTCAAACTTTTGAAGAAAATCCCACTACAAAGTTAACTCTTTAAAACAGTGATGCCTTTTATCAGATTCAGACACCTGAAAAATATTGGGCTGCTTTAATGAATAGAAGAGAAATGTTATATACTGTAGGTAGGTCTTCAACTTGCAACCATCCGTTTAGTGATTGTTCAAAGACACAATGGCTCTGAAAAAAAGTGACATGACCAGTTTTCAAACTTACGACTGTTGCAGCATCCCCATGGACATATGATGAAACTTTGGATGCTTGGCACCCGGCATATATTTACGATGGTTGCCGCATCCCAGGATTCTGGGATTATCATTTGCTGTTCTGACAAGCCAAATCAATGAGAGAAGCCAGATTTGCTTAAAGACTGTGTGATTCACTTAACAAATGTAGTGATTCGCTTAACAACCATAGCAAAAAGGTCATAAAATGGGGCATGATTCATTAACAGCTGTCTTGCTTTGGAGGCAATTTTAGACTCAATTATGGTCGTATGTTGAAGGCTGCCTATATCTGTATGAGTTTTAAATTAATTTTCCAATTTCTTTTTCAAGCAAGTACAACTTAAGATTTCTAGTATATTAATTTTAAAGAAAAGGTAAAGATTTCTTGAACTGAATTGAGGACCTATACAGTTTCTTTGTAGCATTATGAAAGTGATTTACTGTTGTTTTAATTCAACAATTTTTTCCCAACCACTTCCCTATCCAGAGGTTACCCTACTTAACTTTATATACTTTATATACTAGGCAACATTTACAAAATTTGCCAAGAATTTACATGGGCATACAATTCCAAAATATTGTATTCTCTTCGAAGTTTCTTGTCAAGTTTGGATTGACCTTTATGAATCATGTATCTTGCTTTCTCCAATTTCTCTCCTTAGACACATCTGGTATGGAAGAGAGCATTCTTTATTATAGGCTTATCAATGTTTGCAATTTTTAGCAGTATGTATTTTAATTTCCCTGGATCTGGAGGACTGTGCACAATTGTTTTGGCATTTCTGGCTGGATTATCATGGTCTGAAGAAAAAGTGAGTATTTAATTATCATGTAACTAGAAAGTCATCTTGATTCCAAAATATGAGAGTTTATGAGATATTATGGGCAAGTTGAAAGTGTAAAAAAATGTTTCAACTTTGGTTCCATATTTTAGCCATTTATTTGTAGGCTATTTTGAGATTCCCCATCCTATGATTTATGCTTATTTAAAAAAATATTTCCACAGATTTGAGGGTTTCTTTGAGTCTGCCATCTTCTTCCTCTAAATGTATCCTCCTGAGTTCATAAGCAGTGACATTCAGTTTCTGAAAAAAAATGGAGGAAATGATGCTAATATTGCATCACAGTATACAGTGATTCTTAGCTTAGTGGCTTATTTTTTCTCCCCATTCAATCAAAGCAAATGTTCTGGGGAAAAATATGAAGCTAGTATACATCTCTATTGAGTATTATGAATAAAAGTGAATGGGACTAGGTGAGAACAGAGTGTTTTAATGAAAAAAGGAGAACCCTGGAAAAGAACTACCGTCTTATAGAAGTAATTAAAAAGTTATAGAAATAACTAAAGGATGGTATCGCCTTAAATTGTGTTTGTGGTAAGGGTATTCCTCCTAAAAGGAGGAATATTTATAATTTCAAAGCTCCTATTAAGTTATTAGAAGAATCCTTAATATCTTAATATTTGAAAGATACAATGTCATCTTTATAATGATAGCATCACTCTTCCTAAAATGAGAGCAAGAACACAAATCATATAAATGGATCACTTAATTTTTTGAAAATGTTATTTAATAATATGAAAATAATTAAGTTTGTGTTATATATCTTCTGCATGAATGTACAGTACAGTGCAACAAAAATGCATTGCTTTTTTTGCAGAAAGAGGTAGAAAAAATTATTAAGGTTGCATGGGAGATTTTCCAACCTTTTCTTTTTGGTTTAATTGGCGCCGAAATATCTGTTGCATCTCTTGATCCTCAAACAGTTGGTAAGTTTTCCACTAACAAGTAGGCATTTATGCCTATTGTCTTTGGAGGGATTAGCTAATCAGAAGGAAAATTATTTCTGGTATTAAAAAAAAGAATCCTCTCAAAAACTGAAGTTGAGATGATTCTTTTTTTAAATACCAGAAATAATTAAATCTATTTCTTTGTTTCAGGACTCTGCATTGCCATACTGGCTGTTGGATTGATAGCCCGAGTTACAGCCACTTTTGTATTGGTCTGTTTTGCTGGTTTTGAGCTGAAAGAGAGAATATTTATTGCATTGGCTTGGATCCCCAAAGCTACTGTGCAGGTATATTGCATTTTTATGGCAGAATTCTGTCTTCTGGAAATAAAATTAACTGAATACCTCAAATCTTCCAAGAAGTTGAATGGAATGAAATGGGGTTGAGTTAAGTTGAATACTTTATTTGCCCAAGTGTGATTAGCCACATAAGGAATCCCAATATAGAAGCACTCAGTATATATGCAGAGCAACAGAATACAGGTAGTTCTTAACTTACAACCTGAGAGCAAACTTGATGTAGCTAAGGGAAACATTTGTCAAGGGAGTGTTGCCCAGGGGTGGGATCCTACCGGCATAACAACTGGTTCGGTGAGCGCATGCTTTGTGTGCGTGCATGTGCAGTTGTAAATCAACTTCTCCTGCAAGCAATAACCTTCTCCTGCTGATGCGCGGCACTCACTTGTGCTACGGAAAGCAACTAAGGCTGCTTTAGCAGGGAATAAAGGGCAGCCTAGAGTCCAAGGGGGGGTGGGGGGTGGGCCCAACCGAAGAAAAGAAGATTTTCTGAGCGAACCGATTCGGTATCAGCTGCTCTTTGGGGCTACCGGTTCTATAGAACCGGGCCGAACCAGTAGAATCCCATCCCATTTTACTTCTTTTTTTACCACATTTGTTAAGTGAATCGCTGCAGATGTTAAGTTATTAATATGGTTGTTAAGTGAATCAAAGTTACTTTTTGCGGTGCTGTTGTAACTTCGGTCATTAAACAAACTGTTGTAAGTTGTGGACTACCTGGAAGCATCATCATCATTATACCAATAAAAGGGAGGAAGTAAAGAAGATAATAAGGATAAATAATAGTACAGTCACACTACATGGGTAAGTATCAACATTAGACTCTGAGAATTAGGTGTTCAGCAAGGGGGAAATATTGTCCCTGTTTAGTTGTTTTGATATACAATGTCCTATAGCACCATCTTGAGGGAAGGAATTGAAACAATTTATGTTCAGGTCTTTTCCCTCTCCTTTTTTGTTACATTCATTATTCACCTTTTTACTGAACAGCTAAACTTTGTTGTCCAATAAAATTCCCCATCTTCAATCCATAGCCGGCAAATGGGGATGTTGCTGCAAGCATTTTGTCTTTATTTCAATGCAAGCTAAATCAATCACAGTCAGAATTTGCAACCCATTATCACGTTTCTCCTTAGGAACACAATTTTTGATAGCACTAATCCAACAGTTATACTACAACATCATAAACATTTTCCTAAATTTAGTGAGCTGATCCATCTACACTAGAAAAGTGTATGAAACCATAGCACTGTTGAGATGAATCACAAAGCTAGATCTTCTTATTTAGACATAAGATTTTCCAGAAGCAATAAGAAATTATTTGTCTAATATTATAACTGTTCAAGGCTGACTTTGGACTGTGAACCTCATCATTGTCAACCTAAGGTGTAGGCTCTTTGTAACTCTAGGATGTTTTCAGGGTTGTCAATATGAATATTTAGTCACTGCAAACAAATTTTGCTTGTATGTATAAATGAGAGAAAAGAGAGTATCCTCTACTATTTCTTGGTATCCCAAAATTTCCAATTCTGCATCTTAACCTCAGGCAGGAAAGTCCAATCCAGCTGAACTTCAAAAACATAAACAGTGGTTAATAAGGGCCTTAGTAAGGCTACAAGCTAAACTACATATTCTAAACCATTACTTTACTATAAATAGATTTTTAGTTTGTTGCAAGATTTGCTACTATACTTCTCATCAGGTATAGTACTCAAACACTTACTGATTACAGTAAATCAAATTTTGAAAATATTATATGAAGGAAGAGCTAATCCCATTAAAACAGTAACTTACAATGCAGTCCTCTTCTACATTGAATTTCAATGTAGAGAATCGCTTAAAATAAGTCATAAATTTCATTTCATTAGATGGACACCAATTTAGATGCTTTTGAAAGGGGCAATCCAAATTCAATGAGGATTGGTCTTTTAATGGTTGCTAGTCTATCTAGGTGCTATCACCTGAAAACTAGATAGCACATCTTAAATATCAGTTGCTGGGGAACAACAGTAGGAAGGGCTTCTTATGCACTAGTTAGCTGCTGTATAGTGTGTTCGATGAAACAAGCTTTTGTGCTGTATTTTTAAAATGTTCTTTTGCTGTGTTATCTATTATTTCCTTTCTCTTGACAGGCTGCAATTGGTTCAGTTGCCTTAGATACAGCACGGGAGCAGAAAGATAAACAATTAGAGAAATATGGCATGGATGTTTTGACAATTGCTTTCCTGGCAATCTTAATCACAGCTCCAATTGGAGCTCTAATAATTGGGCTGGCAGGGCCCAAACTTCTCCACAAGACTTCTGATACCAACCAAGAAAGTCATACATATGAAGAAAGAGAAGGAATAGAAATACATGGGCCAGCATAGGGAGATATGAAGTGCTGTCCACAAGATCACCTGAATTGAAACTGCTTATGAATCATGGTATCTACACTTAGAGAAGTTTAAAGGCCTATGAAAGGAATGTTGTAATGGGGGCCCACTGTGGATATGACAGGCAGAGATAGGTATGGCAGGAAGCACCAGTTTGACAAGAAAAGGGAGACCCATATTCTCCAGGATCTGGATAAATTCAAGTGGACTTCAGTGTTTCTGACAACTGGGGGGAGAGTACTAATATTTTATATGCTCCTTTTTATGTCCTGCACTGTTTTACATTGCCCAGAATATACATATTGAAGTGGCCTACAAAAAATTTACAATAATACTATAAAATAAAATATGGTTTTATTGAAAAAACATCCATATGTGCCTTAATCCATCCCCCACCATGCAGTCTCAACTATCAGTACAGATCCTTCCATCGCCCTGCCATCACAACTGATGAAGTTTCTTGGATGAAAAAAGGAAACATTTTCTTCTTCAAAGAAAAAAGAACCCAGTCTAGTTGCCTTTTGAAAAAGCATCTTTGAGATAACAATGATCTGGATGCCTGAGAATCTCCAAAGACATCCTCTCATATATTTCTATTACATAGCTCAACTTTTCTCAAGGTTAAGCTTCACAGGGTGCATTCTCTCCTCCCCTTCTCTGAATCGGTTCTGATTTCTCAAAATTAGTATGCTGTGTAGAACCGGACAGAATACCACAATACTAGAGATAACTGACCAAGACGCAGTGAAATAAACAATACTTTATGATTTGGGAAATATGCTAGTACTGACGCAGCTCTTTGACTCCAAGATCTTTTTCACAAGTAGTTATTAAGCATCAATCTATGTATTGCGTTTCCAAAATAAATACCTCTGTAACTTTTCTCTCTCTTAATTTTTATGGTGTAGCTTCCTCCCCATTTCACCAGCCTGTCAAGATAATTTTGGATTTTGTTTTCTAGAGAAGTTTCTCCACTTCAGAGACTTTTAAGATGTGTGGACTTCAGATGTGTGGCAGTTGCAAGTCCATGCATCTTTAAGCCCCTGAAGTTGAGAAACACTGTCAATATGCACCACCCCACCGCACCATTTCATAGCATCCAGAAATTTAAAACGCATCCCTCTCATTCTCCAAATAATTCATGAAGAGGACCCAGGACTGCCCAGGCCCATTACATACTTTTCTCCACTCGATCTACAAATCACTGAGGAGCCTCCTTGGAGTACAATGTTTGAAGTGGCTGCAATATCCACTTATTGTACTTACATTTGTCTCTTTGGCAAAGGTAGGAAAAAGCGAAAGAAGGCGATGGCTGCAACTATTTCAGCCCTCTGGGTCCCCGGAGGGTAGGGGCTGAGCTCAGGATCTCCTCCAAGGATTTCCTTGCGCGGAAATACAGAGGAAAGCAAATTGGGGCAATTCTTGCTGCAGGGCAATTACAGACCTCCCCCCCCCCCCCCCCCCCCCCCCCTGCTGAGCGCCGCCGCAGCGCCGTTGAACCAGGTGCCCTTCGGCGGGTGGGCAGACAGGCATGACCGTTATTTCTAGACCGTTATTTTTCTCAGAGGCAGCTGAGAAAAGTTGAGGCAGCTTTTCTGGTTTGGAGAGCGGCGGAGCGGCAGGTGGAGCTTGTAGTCCTCGGCCGTCCCTGCGCCTCCCACTTTTCCCCGGCTCCAGACCAGCCTTAGTGAGGAGGCTGCCTCTGTTTTAAACACGGTTTTCTGTCCCCATAGTGGCTCGGGACGTTTAACGGGTCAGTGGCGCTACCTTCGACTTTTGTAACGGACCTCCGAGAGGCAGACCGGGGCCTCGGGACGCCCTCAAGGGGGGATTTAGAAGCCAGTTGCAAAGGTTCGCCCACAGCCCCTTAAGCCGTGTGCCAGGGTTTAGGAAACCAGAAAGGCTAAACCCCGAGGCTGTTTAGCGAGATGAGTAAGTCCAGTCCGCCGCATGCTATTTCTGAAGATAAACATGGAAAACAACCCTATTGTCTTGTGAACGTCCGATGAGAATACAACCAGCTTGCTTTTCTGAGATATATAAATCCTCTCCCACTCCAGATTTCCTTCCCCCAAATCAAAAGATCCATGTTGTTATGGAGATTTTTAGCCATCCAGGTCATGGTTGTCCCAAAAGCGCTTTTCCAAAAGGCAAAACTGAACTTTCTCGGTTGTTTTCTTGAAAACGTTTAGCTTCTTATCCACGAACTGAAGAAACTTCTTGGAAGAAAAACAAATCATTTTCAAAGGAAAAAACAACAACAAAGTCCAGTTGCCTTTTGGAAAAGCATCTTTGCATCCAAAGATCTATGCTTGATTTTCACCATAATCCCCAGCCAGAGCTCTACATTATAGGAGTTTATCCTAAATCAGGAACAAATTTAGGGCACATGTAATTTGAGGAATCGAAGTTTCTCTATCCCAAAAACGTGAATACCAAATTGAATGTGAAGTCAGGAGTTAATTCCAATATGTGTAGGTATCATCCTCTGCTTCCAATCATAAACATGTTAATTGTACTGGGAATAAGATGAAATAGGTAAATATTATTATTAAGATGATGAGCATAGGGGTTCAGATAGGCAATTCAGTGCTATAATTCATCATTCAGAAAAAACTTGCCCTCAGTTTTTTGAGGTTATATTCAAGAAAATATATTTAAAAATATTCATTGTGGCAGAGGTGTTTCTATGTTATCTTTTTATTTTTTTAAAAATAGTAAAATAGTAAATAATGTAAAGCAGACAATTACCCATATTGTTCAGAATATCTTGCCTTGTCTGCTCTAATATCTTGAATATTTCATAAAAATAGAAGTTCCCTGTTTGTTAAAAGAATACTTTAGTTTTGGTGGTTCATATTAAAATTTTGTGCAAAAAGTTAAACCGTTCTTTTGGAGTATTGTGTAACTTCTTCATAGCATTTCATGAACTCTGGCACATACACTGGGCTAATGATTTAGAGGATATCATTGATGGTTATATTTTTCCAATTCATGTTTTTTTTTTCTAAACTTAATCCAATTTCATTTGGGAAGTAAAAACTAAGCAAGAGGGTTTAAATTTTTAAAATAAAATACATTTTATTTTACAAAATTAGATTGTGAACTATGTCAGAGAAAATACCTGTGGCAGACAACAAAAACATATCTTCAAAACCAAGAAATGAAGCTTATCCAATGCAGGTAATAGTAATGGCAGTTTTATAGTTGTGTTGATAGTTTAGAAATTAATACAAAATAAGACATGTCTTTCTTCTACATAGGGTTCAATGGTTAAACTTTAAGATAAGTATTGTCATGTTTCTTTTCTTCCTGATATAGCTATTAAAAGTAAAGTTAAAGAAATGAAATTATCCTGCATCTAGATATATAATTCCTGTTAAGCGGGTGGGATTCAAATTTTTTAACAACTGGTTCTGTGGGCATGGCTTAGTTGGTGGGCATGGCTTGGTGGTCATGTTATTGGCTGGGCGTGGTCAACTCAATATCACTTGTATTGAGGCACGCATCTCCTCTCCTGGCCTCTCATGACTGTGGGGATGTTGCAACAGTCATAAGTGTGAAAAAGGGTCATAAGTCACTTCTTTCAGTGTCATTGTAACTTTGAATGGTCACTCCACACAAGCAAAGTACCAGCAAAGGAGGAAAAAAAAACTCCAGAGAAGTTCCAGAGACAGAAAGTCTAGTCCTGCCAAGAATGTAATAAGGATTAACGGAGAGGCAGTTTCTGTAAGCAACACCAGAATGTTTCCTTCCTGCCTTCCTTACAGGATTAGGCCAGTAATTTCTTCTAACAACCGGTTCTCTGAACTGCTTAGAATGTTAACAACTGATTCTAGCGAATAGGTGCGAACTGGTAGAATCCCACCCCTGCTGTTAAGCCAAATAAGCAAAACTTGTAGTGAAGGAGGCCAAACATTATCTTTGGGAATTTGTGTGATTTAAATAGAGGACAGTCTGCATGCAACTTTATTGCTTAAAAAGCACCTATTTAGGGACAAGACATTGCACAGGTTTTTTTTTTAATGTCAACAAGTGTTTGTCCCAATGTTTTAAGAGCTCAATGTTTGTTTTTCTTTGGACCAAAAGGCTTATGATTTTTATTTATTTACAAATAATTACATTGAGATGAGGGGCAGTTTAAAAGTTCCAACAAATAGCTAAGTCCTTTCTTCCTTTAATTATAACATTTATCTCAATCTAGGGGGATGCTGGGAAAGTTATTTTTTAATATGTAGAATAATAATAAATATTAAATTACAATGGCAGCCAAAAAGCCAGGTTTTTGCCAGATTTCAAAAGACCATAAAGTAGGACTCATCCTTGTCTCAAAGCTAGCTATTCCAGAGAAGGGATACTCGCATGGAGAACACTTGCATGGGGGCTGTCAAAGCGTTTGCAGAGTGACTACTATTATGAGACAATCCAGGAGCAAAACATAGCATACAGAAACTTAGACATTTAACTATAGTTTATATACAAGACATATGCAGTAATATACATGGTAGTCAAGTACCTAATAAGCAATCAATCTTCTTAACTCTACATGGAGAACTCTACAATGGAGTCAGGACACAAGGAGAGAGATACAGGAGGAGAGAGAGATACGCCTTCTCATGGCCTTTATATAGACAGCTTCTTAAAGTGGCAGTAACCCTGCTGACTCATCCTTATGTCATCATCTTGGTTTACAGCCTTACAGCAGCTGGTCAGCTCTTAAATCGTCATTACCCTGACAGGGGCTTCCTCTGACTGCACCTCCTACTAAGTTCTACTATGGAATCAGTAGGCTTCTAAACTGACAGCCATTGCATCTTGCTTGCTAATCTTTTTCTTCCCCATTCAGACCTGACAACCTGCAGGCTCTAAATCAGAATTCCTATTACATTCCCCATTGATCATAGGGTCAAAAAAGTACAGCTAACTATTATCATCTTGTGGGTGATAATGTATTCTAAACTAACAATTCTGCAAAAAAATAATAATCATGTAAATGTTAAATAGATGTTATTATTTGCTTTTTTCCTGTAAGCCATCTAGAATCGCATTGTTTGAACTGGTGGCCTATAATTCCATTAAATAAAGATATAAAAACCAAAAGAAAAACCTGCCAGCAATGACTCTATAAAAGATGTTTCTGACATTTTGCAACCAACAACTGAGAATGTTATAGCAGTTTTTCTTTGAGATTTAATTCTGTTGAGAATGTTTCCTCATTTTATTTCAGGAAGCTGGTGTTTTGGATTCCAATGGAGAGCAAGTACAGACTGAGACCAAGATTCAAGAGAAACTGAAGGAGCTATGTACTTGTCCTCCTCAAGGTGTTATTGCCCAAATAATAACAAACGGTATGTAAAACACAAGTCAAAAGCAAAAATAGTTGACCCCCTCATTAGTTGCCATTAGTTGCATTAATTTTAGACCTTTTTTTTTATTTGTACTAAAAGTTCTTCAAAAATAGACTTTACAGTTTAAAATTATTCTTATTTTCCAGTAGGAAACATGATTTCCATGTTTGCATTGATGAAAGAAATTGAATCAAATAATTAAAAATTATTTGAATTCTTTTGCTTTGACACCAATTAATCCTATAATACTTGAGATTTTATATAAGCTTAAGATTTTATATAAGGGATAATCGCTTGTTTAAAGTTTCCTTTTGCTTGATGGAACTTTCTGAAAAATTACTCTGGAAAAATATAAGGGAACCATGGAGAAAACCCAAATTCACTCCAGGAGAAACAGACGATAGAGACGAATTTGTCAGGACTGAAGTAGTGGAGGGAAAGATGAAATCACATGTCTTACCGGTTCAAAATTCTATCTAGTTTTGGCTTTGCATGAACTCTTGTGAGCTGAACATCATGGCTTAATAACATTGTCACTGCATAATAACAAAATAAAAACCAGCCTAGTATGATAATTTGTATTGCGTGAATCTTCAGACTAGAAGGTACTTAACATGTTGGAATGGTCAACACAGATTTATATATCTTACTTATATACATTAACTATTAGCAAAGAAAAAAGAAATCTAATTACCCTAAAGCAGGAGTCCCCAACTTCTGGGTCATAGCCCACTAGTGGGCAATGAACTGTTTGCAATTGGGCTGCAGAAATGGTAGCTGAATGCACACACACATGTGCCATCCCCATGTGCATGAGCAGTGGTTGAGCGCATGCATGCATGCACAGGTGTGCTTGCTGGCCATTCGCACGAAACGATCCCCTCTCCTCCCCCCCTGCAAAGCTGGAAAGTCTGCAAAGCCCGAAAGGTTGGGGAACTCTGTCCTAAAGGACATTTTGTGACTTAGTGCCTTTCTGATGCATTGTGATTAGGACTCTCTGTTGAAAACATAGTCTCAAACTCCCTGAAGGGCAGAAGGCTCACGGAGCTTGTTCTACAGTAACAATAGTTTCTCATGCTGGATTCCCATTCCACAGTTAACATTAACACATGGTTAACATTTAGAGTGGTAGTGTTCTCATTTCAACTGTTCATGTGGAGAAGGCACAGAAAAGAATAAGGTCATGACATTATGATGCAAACTATCCAACTGATTTATGTCCATTCAACTATGGAATGCAATAATGAAAGGACTAAAATTATTGTGTGAGGTTGTGACTTACATTTTATCATTTTTTCATTATCACAATTTCTACTGACACCGAGGGTATTGTCACCTAGTTGTGACTGAATTATCTGAATTTGGGGAAAGTACCGTATTTGCCGGCGTATAAGACGACTTTTTTGCCCCGAAAAACATGCCTCCAAGTGGGGGGGTCGTCTTATACGCCGGTATATCCACTGCCGGCTTTCGGATGCTTGTTGGACGCAGCGAAGGCGCTTCTGGCTTCCTGGATCCCCTGCGTCGCTTCCGCTTCATCCCGCTCGCCTCGCTCCGCCCGAGGCTGCAGCCTTCCTGCTCTTCCCACGGCCCCTGGCACTCTGCCCTGCCGCTGCAGCCCCGGGGATTTCTGGAGGGCGTTTCCGGTGGTGGTGGGGGGTCGTCTTATACGCCGGGTCGTCTTATACGCCGGCAAATACGGTAATAGTTAAAGTTAAATTATTGCATGGTTCATGCCTCCCAAACAGGTGGATAGATTCCTGCTGTAGTCCAGGCAAATGTTTCCTTTCCTTTTGTAACAATTTAAAAAGTAAGTCAGGGATATGCAACATTTCAGAATAATGTTATGAATAAATGATGTTTATGATATTACAATTAGTGTTTTAATATATGTTGATGATAGATCAATTTGATATATACATTTTAGAGACTGAATGGAATAAGGAATATGAGATTCATGCTTGGTTAAACAAAGCAAAGTGTCTTAACATCTATAAAAAAAATTAAATAGATGTTTGTTTCAAAAATGTTTCAGCCATACTGGACTTCATTATACTCATACAGAAAAGGAATCAGTATATCATTTTGTTCAAGATGTAATAATTCATACAAGTTTTTTCAATCTTCAAAAATTGTAACATTCTGGGGAAAAGCCACTATGTACTTTAATTTTACTTTGAGGCACGGTTTAATTTAATTTGTTCATATTCATATTCTGAATTACAAAATTACTATACAGAAATTGGCAACTGGACAACAGAAATGAATTCCCTGGATACTTCATATTGCTAAGAGACTGCCCAGAGTCATTTAGATAGTGAGATAGGTACTGCATAAATGTGATCAATCAATAAATAAATTCAAGATTGAAAAGATAAATTTATAAACTCCATTATTCTGTGAAATAAAATTCTGATGTTTCTTGTGACTTCTTCACGTTTCTTGCAATATTGTAAGAAAATATGATCATTATTTACTGAAACTCTATTGTAAAGCACTATCTTTACATGGAGATATGTATGAGTTGCCCTTATATTTTATTAATTTTAATTTATTTTTCATTTTCTCTCCCCCCCCCATTTCTACTTTTCAAATAAATACTCTCTCTCCCCCAGAAGAAATAAACAATAACATTTGGAAAAAAATAAATGAAAGTAAGGCAGAATGTGTATAATAATATTTCAAAAATAGTATCACAAATAGGGAAAAGTACAAGAATAAATTTTGCTTCCATCTCCTACAGATGATTTTTCTCTTTTCTTAATATCGATAAGTCCCATACTTTTCTTTCTCTTTTCTTAATATCGATAAGTCCCATACTTTTCTTTCTCTTTTCTTAATATCGATAAGTCCCATACTTTTCTTTCTCTTTTCTTAATATCGATAAGTCCCATACTTAACATTTCTTTCCTTCCTCTCCACCCCACTTTCTTTTCCTAGTGGCAATAGGAGCAGTGATCTGGGGCCTAATTTGGAGTTTAACAGGCGAAGAGAGTCTGCCTGGTGGGAACATCTTCGGAATTGTATGCCTCTATTTTTGTTCAGTAATTGGTGGCAAAATTATGAAGCGAATTAAAATACCGGGACTGCCTCCTCTACCTCCTTTTCTTGGTAAGCATCATGTCAACAAATAGCATGCCAATTTCATTCTAATTAGGTAGGCTGGATTCTTCCAGACTAGTATTTCAAATTATTAAACATTACTTTCAATTTATAAAGAAGTATTAACCATTGTTATGAAAGCTAATTTCTTGGATCACTCATGTACTCAATCTTTCAGAAGGCTGTTTGTGAGGGGCAATAGATGTTGAGAATTATGGATCGATTCTGCTTTTTGCAGTTAGTTCTGGGTTATAATGAGTAGACTGCCAAACAAGCCTGGCCTATGGAATTACCATCTTATAGGCCCTCAATGCCAACTCTTGTGACCAGCTGCAGAAAGGGAGACCTTAACAAGAGCAGGGTTTTCTAACACATTTGCATGAAAGGAAAAAACTTAATCAGCTTAGCTGTTGCATATCAAGCTAAGTATTATTAAGATGACTTTTGCTTGTCTACTTTATTGTATCACGTTGACATATAAGAGGGGTACAACTTCAGCTTTTGAATGGGATTCCCAAAGGCTGAGAAACAGGTCTGTGGTTTTATCCTTGAAGCTGTGAACCTTGATTATTTTTATTGGTTTGTTGTATTTATTTTTCCTGCAATATTCTCCGTCTGTCCCTCTCCTAAACCCCTATAAAAAGGGTAAACTTTTGTAAAAGATATGTATTTGTATAAACAAAGAAAATGAAACATCATTGTCAGATTTTATGTGGATCTCTGAAAGAATTAATCAGGTGTTATCACTGTTCCATTTAGGTATGTTGATTGCTGGATTCCTCATCAGAAATATTGAATATGTCAGTCAGGTGATCGTGATCGAAGTATATTGGGGAGTTATATTCAGAAATATTGCCCTCTCAATTATTTTGTCTCTAGCTGGTCTTGGCCTTGACGCAAAGGTAGAGTATTAAAGGCTTCTTAAGAAATTCAAAATTTCCTGTTACAAATAGCAAAACACAGTGAAAACCTGTAACGTGTAGTACATAGCTCCATTTTTTTACTTTGAGTCATAGAGGACACAGATATGGGGAGAAATGGAACAGAATATGAAGAAAGAGGAAGATTAACATTTCTCAGATAATTAACATTAATTATCCTTGGAATAGTGCCACCCAGGAGGAATTTCTTTCCTACCTGCTATGCCTGTGAAAGAGAAAAAATTAGATTGGATCATACTGTTCCCACATGCTAATAAAAACTTAAAATAAAAACTGAAACATAGCTAGATTAGGTATAAGTGTGTAGAGTGTGTGCATTTGCATACCTAAACACACACATTTAGAAATAGGGCTTATTTAACTCAACTGATTAATTTCCCTTCCCAACCACTTCATTTTTTAAAAAAATGAGAAAGTGCTTTCACTATTCCTGTTGTACCATTTTCTTACTTTTAATTGGCTTGATTGGAAGCCTTTGAAAGGGCCTTGAAAGCATGGAGAATAAAGACAGATTGCGTATTTGTTGAAATCATCCTGAAAATTGTCCTTGTTCACTATGAGGGAAGATTTTTATTGTTACCGATGAATACTCAAGTCAAGGCAAAGACAAAGGCTCCCTCAAGGGTCAACCCCAAGATTGGGTGACTTCCAAAATATGAGAGGCTTTTGGCCACATTAGAGAAATCAGACCTAAGGACTGGGGGGATCCAGTGGGAGTGGGAAAAGGTCTATGGGGCTAAGGGGTGGCAACCAGAATATTGGGTGTCTCAAAGGGTGGGGAAGTTGTTGGGAGGGCCAGGGCAGATGGGTCTGGCTTTCTGCCTGGCCTCTAAAGGCCTCCCCCACTCCTGAGTCAACCCTTGCTTGGCTTAATGACCCACACATTCCTTTAATGATTCATTGGGGAGAGCAGGGATAGAGGGATCATTAGGTGAGACCCTTCATCTAATAGCTATTACAACATGGGACCATAATGGGCAGGCTCTATTATGGTCATATCTTGAGAAATAGTTTGCTCTTGGTTCTTCCAGAAGATACATAGGGCACAAAAAAGTATTTTGGATTGGGCTCAAAATGTCCTTAAACTTCATGTTATGTTGACAATTACATGAGAATTTTTACCCTGCAGTATCCCTTTTTAAAGTTTTTGCTAGTCTAAATTAAGAATAAAAATGAGGAACCACTCTTTATTAGAACAATAATACGCTTACCACATTTGGTCCATTTTATGTTTTTTTTGGGGGGGGGGTACTTTCTAAATCTTGTGACTAATTTGAACTAATTTGTGACCAAAAAGTATTTTTTAAATCTTGTTCTAATTTGAAAAATTCAAATTACATTATATTATGTCTCCAAGACGGAGTTACATACTCCATTCTAAAGCATGGTTTATAGACTAGTGCAAGGGGGTTATTTTAGAAATTGTGGATTTAAACCAGAAATATGGTTTATTTCAAGTGTAAACCCAGTCAATATATTAGCAAATCTTGGAATATTTTTTTTCCTGGCACTAAAGATGAGCAATATTAAGATGAGTAATATTCTTGTATTTCAGGCTCTGAACAAATTAAAAGCTGTCTGTTTCAGACTATGCATAGGACCCTGCATCACTGAGGCATGTTCAGCAGCAGTCATATCTCACTTTATAATGAAATTCCCATGGGTATGGGGATTTATGTTAGGGTAAGAGGTGACCCTGCTTCTTTTTGCACCAAGTATTTCTTTTCCTTTTACCATATATACTTCTTATTTTCCATTCATAAATACAATTGGTGTAAACCAGAGCCCAATACTTGCAGTTTCCTTGTTGACACACCCAAAGCCACTTTCATGTTGGGATGAAACAGGCAAAGGATGTTCTCTTGCTTGTTCTGATGCATCTAGAAACTTTAGTTCTTTTACAGTTTTAAGACCTTATTTTCCTCACCCTGCTTCCCTTCCAATCATATTGGGCTACAACTCTTTTAATCCTCAGCCAATACAAGTTGAGAAAGGCCCATCATAACCATTGGGGATCATAACAATGCTTTGAATATTCAGAGTATTTAGTGAATAGTGCAGTTGTGATAGGAAACCATACCCACCTCATTTTTATTTATTGTGTGTTTGTTTTCTATTATTCTAAACAAGGGCTGTCAAACTCGCAGCCTGCAGGCCAAATGCATCACGTGTTGACCACGCCCAGGCCCGGTTTAGTGAAGGGGGGAAAGTCACGATATGTCATGTAACACCACCATGACGATGTGAGTTTGACACTCCTGTTCTGAATTGTTGTGAGAAAGAGAGTGATCTTTCAACCAATACATTATTTAACCATCTATATTCTGCTGCCTCCCACAAACCTTAACATATTTAACAATGGCTGAATATTATTTATTGAACTGATGAGCCCCAATACTGTATACATTTTTCAGATTTGTTCTAGGTGCTGTATCTCCAGCTGTTGTGGTGCTTTCAATGCTGATGTTACAAAGACAAGGTCTTGGTGTAGACCAAGGAATTCCAACTTTACTAATAGCTGCTGCCAGTATAGATGACATTGTAGCCATCACAGGCTTTAACATTTTCTTGGGCATGGCTTTTTCCTCAGGTAATATTCCTATACTCTAAGACTGATGAAACAGAACATGTACCCACTGAAAGGTGGAAGGTGAATTATTAAAAGCCAACATTGGCAGTAAGATTTATTTGTAGCATCTTTATTTTTTAGAAGAACACAAAACAATGATAAAAATTAAATCAGTAGAATATTAAAACCCTAAGACAGATATCCTTTTTCATATATTGTGGCGATATTTAGATGTAACATGTCAAATCAGAAATGCACATAATCATACACACATAATTCAGTGGTGTAACTCATGATATTCATAATCCTCACAACTCTTTTTTGCAGTCTCTTTAACCCCTAGATTTTCATGATGTAATTTTTCAGGATTGTTTTACAAAAATTAGAAAATAAAATGGTCTCTTGTATACAATACTTAACTGACATAATCTTTTTTTACAAACAAAATGGCTGATCTCTATTAGATTCAGGAATCTATAGTCTGTCCCAAAATGTAGATGCAAATGTCAACTTTTGTAACTTGATTTCACTGGTTTTCTGCTTTCTGCTTATCCACTCCATTTGTTTTTGTGGAGTGACTGTAAATAGATGGGTCATAATCAGTGGTGCAATTCAACCAGTGTAACAACCGGTTCAGTGATCATGTGCTTTGGGCGTGCATGGGCGTTTTACGCACATGCCCACCCCTTCAAAAAGCCCATTTTTAGCTATGATATTTACCCTCTACTGCAGCCCTGATGAGTAAAACAGCTGAGGCGCGGCAAAACTGCTCTACGGCACAAATCAGCTGTGCTCCAAAACAAAGAAATAAAGCACAAGAAAGAGCAGGGGTGGGTGGGTGGGGCCAAATGCTCACTGGAATTACCGATTCACCCAAACTGGTCCGAACTGGTAGAATCCCACACCTGTTTATAATGCTCAGAAGCTGGCTCTTGCAAAACCCAGCAGCTCCACCATGATAAAATGGGAGAATCTTCCTCAAAATCTAACAAAGCTTCTCCTGCTTTGCTGTGCAGTTGATCAGTTGTTTAGCACTGTCACATTGGCAGTGTTTTTAGTTGTCATTCAGATTTTCAATTCTGAAAACTCAATAAGCCCACAGTCACAAGAAAACAAGAAAACTATAGAACATGATCAACAGCTGGAAACTATGTAATAAAGCAGAAGAATGTCCTGCAGAACTGAAGGGATTCCCCCATACTATAGCACTGGTAGTTCTGCTCAGTTCTTTCCCTTGTGGGACATAAAAAACCAATAGTAGGAGAGAAAAATATCCAAGACCCAAGAAACTGGTCCTCGGTATACAAGAGACCAGGCTTTCTTTCCCAAATGGGGTGAGGATGAGAAGGCGACAATCTAATGCAAATGTGACACAATCCAAAAGGTTGCCAGAGCATATTCATAACATGATTAGAAATCAGTGAGGAAATATTTTTATTAGAGAAATATTTCTTAAGCCACATTATTATGGAAATTGAAAAAAGAGAAAACAGCATTTCTTCAAGTCTGAATGACTTTTCTTCAAATCTTTTGAGCCCTCTGTTGCTGATTGTTTCACTTGTCATGCATCTGGTTTTTAGATGCTGATTAGAGGCAATGCTACCATATCTTATGGGGTTGTAATTTGATTGCTTGCCTAACATTATTTAATTATTTTTACCATTTATATGGTCACTCATCTTAGTTGCACGACACAACCTTTGGTAGTTAATATTTTTCCAAATTTTTGCAGAAATTGTTTACTTGCATTTTTAAAATTACTTAAAAATTACATTAAAATATCTCCTTGACTTTTTTCCCCATTTCTTTTTCATAGGCTCTACCCTTCGTAGTATCTTCCGTGGCCTGGTGGAAGTTGTTATTGGTGCAGGTGCTGGTTGCCTTTTAGGATTTTTCATTACATATTTTCCAAGCAAGGATCAGGTAAAAACGATACTGTTGGGAAAATATTCTGTAATAAAGCCCACATTTTTGTAGGCTGCATTTACAGTAAAAGCACCTGATAAACTGAGCACATTCTGAGAAACTGGAACAGAGGAAATTCAGTTATTCCTTCCAAAATGTATTGTAATCCTATTTTTACAAATGTAGAATTGATGAAAAGTAGACAAAAAGTTCCTATCCCAGCAAGGATTTGGAAAGTAGATTTAGCACACATTTAAACTCTATTATGCCAGTTAGACCTAGGATATTACAGATGGGATATTGTTTTTGAAGAGACAAAGCAACAGTAAGTCCCTGCAAAGTGGCTAACATCAGCTATAAAACTGGAGATGAGTATAAGAGGGAGAGAAAAACAAAGAGAAGAATAAAGGAGGAACAAAAAAGACCTTTCTCCCTAAGAGGTCCAGATGATCACTTTTCAAACATCTGCTCTGCAATGAATATATTCTGAAACGTAAGACCTTATTTTAGTAGATAGTAATTAGTCCTTCAACTGAGCAGGTTGAGAGTTCAATCTAGGTAGCAGCAGATATTTTTCTCCTAGGGTGCTAAGAAAAATATCTGCTATGAACTCCACATGGTGTCAGGAAGGGTATCCGACCAGTAAACGCATAGCTCCATCCAATCACCCCAACTTTATCCTGAATTAAGGGACCCTTCAACAGGGTCATAAAAAGGGATTTTTTTTAAAGTAGTCCTTCAATGGGATGATTATATTGGTTTAAAAATGAAGTTTATTTGGACTATATGTGTGTTGCCTTAGCTTATTTTCCATATGTTACATTTTTTAAATAACTTCATTTTATAGATTTGCCATGAGTAACTTTTAAGGAAATTTTTCATTAAAAATTCCCCACATCAGAGGTGGTATGCAGCAGGTTCTGACCAGTTCTGGAGAACCGGTAGCGGAAATTTTGAGTAGTTCGGAGAACTGGCAAATATCATCTCTGATTGGAGATTTTATAGTATCCACACCCACCAAGCCACGCCCACAGAACTGGTAGTAAAAAAATTTGAATCCCACATGCAAGACTGCAGAGTTACATAGCTACTCTTGAGGTTCAGGATTGGCACAAAACTGTTAAATTTGATATTACTGGACATTGGCTAGAAAAAAATATCCTTTTTCCCCTAGACCTGGGATCAAGAGTAAGAGTACTAAGAACTTCTCAGCTGGGCAGACTGAAAGACTGATAAGGCTTAGCCTGACTAATGGCAGGGTATGATTATCAGTTATTGGGGAAATTTAGGAGAAAGGTTTAAAATTATCTAACTTCCTGATTTGTAGATACAGATGTATTTCTTATAAAGTAGGAATGATTGAAAATTGATAAAATGGAAATTATCTGTGTCCTACAGCAGTGTTTCTCAAGCTTAACAACTTTTCAGATAGGTGGACTTCACGTCCAGAATTCCCCCGCCAGGATGCTGAGAGTTCAAGTCTAGCCATCTTAAAGTTGCCAAAGTTGAGAAATATTGTCCCAGAGTACTTCCAGAGGGACTGCTTTTGATCAAAAGCATTGTGTAGTTGTTCTATTTTACTGAATATATTTTCTTTTTCTGGGAAGAAAAAGAAACCACTGGTAAAAAAAGACATATGAGTGAAGAAAAATGATGACAAGATATCTGGAAGTATTGGTAACTTCAGGAGCCAATAATGTATATAATACTGAAAAGATGCAGAGCCACTGTAATTTTTTGATCTTTCCTATCATTGGTGGTAGGGCCCTATGAAAACATTACATTTTCTGATCCCCAAGTTATTTTAAATGCAACACTGTATCATGCCATTGTTTAAAATATTAAAAAGAGAGCTCTGACTGCTTGTAGCCAAATACCCACAAAAATAGTATATTTTAACTTTCCGTTTTTTCAGTTTCTCTGCACATGTGAATAGCAGTAAATTATTACTGAAAATTTGGATTTCCTGCCAGCAAGCAAGTAAACATTATGGGTATCTCATTTTGAGTTTTATAGGGATAATATACACTTTCTTATCAACACCCAGACTTTGGAAAGGAAGTTGGAATTACATCATGATCCCATTGCCCAGGGCAGGGGCAGCCTATTTCATTATATGGGTACATCCCTTAGATATATGCTTTACTTGACCACCGGGAGGCAGTATACAACATGTTTTGTCCTGCTGCACTCCAGCAATTATAATTTTCCCCCCCATTTTTATCCTTTCAGAAATCCATTGTATGGAAAAGAGCTTTCTTTGTGATTGGCTTGTCAGCATTTTCTCTTTTATGCAGCAAACGTTTTGGCTTTCCAGGATCTGGAGGACTCTGTGTCATTGTTTTGTCATTTCTCGCTGGAATGGCATGGTCTAATGAAAAGGTGAGAATTGTCTTACTAACCACACATCAAAATCCCAATTCTGATCCTGATTCTGAAAAATAGAAACTATAGGTTGCTAGTAGTTTTTAACACGACTGATCAGTCTTAGTTTTGGACAAAGGTAGGTAATGTGATGCCCATGGGTCTCAGTGTGGGGATCAAGGTATATTTCTTCAGATTCTTGCAATTAAAAAACTGAATGAAAGCTGACGGTTTCCTAACAGTGTGCCAACCCAATATTTCTAGGAATCCCTTTGGGGCTCATGTAGGAGTCATACATAGTTATACTGAGAAAATAACTGTGGTAAGTGGCCTAGCCTAGTGCTTCATGGTGATGGATACAGGAAAAAAAAAAAGGATAAAGTATCCTGGTATATATAAATCACATCCTTGAGATTGTAAAGAGAACATTTACAGTTTGCCTTCTAGTAAGCACATGCTTGTGATTGATCGTGCCTTCTGGGGAAGCTGTTTTGTGAGAGCAAATCTTCCAAATGTGTGTATACTCCAAAAGTTGGGGTTGAAGCAAAGTTGCCTTTTTCTTATTTTGATATTAACTCTTGCAGCAGGTAAATCTTGGGCAGGTAAATGCCTCATACTAAATGACATACAGCACATAAATAATTTTGTTAAGCCAACTTTATTGGTTACATTACAGTGAGGCTTCAAACACACCATTAACACTCATTCTCCAAGTCTTACCAGAGTAGCTGTTCAGTATAGGGACTGGAAAAGACGAATTGAAGACCAGGCTAATTTGAAGGTAGATAAATTTAATGACAACAGCGAAAGACCTAAAAGCCAAGTTAACAGAAAATCATTTGGAGAAAATCTATCCATTAATGACTAGGAAGTGACACATGATTTGATAACAATCAAACAATTTCTCTTTTTACTGATTTAGACCAAATATGTACTGTCAGCTTATTTCACACACACATTGTGTGTCAGCTTATGATACACACGCACATTTTATTCACTATCTTATTTAATCTTCAAACAATTTCAGCATTTTTTATTTGAATTGATAATGAACGGGCAGGTCAGGTAACAGTTATACAGGTTTTTTTTCCTAATTACATATTTTATCCTTGTGGTCCATAGCAATGTTGGGTATTTGTTTTGCTGCCAGGCAACTTGTGCTGTTTCAAGTTTCAATCACAAGCACACAATTGCTGTGGTGATTAGCAGTTTAACTTCAAGACTGAAGAAATAAAACAGTGATCAAAAATGTAACCAAAACAGAAACTTGCCTAAAGTGGTTTTTTTTAACAGAAGAATAGTCCAAATCCATTCCAGGATTCTGAGAACCACATCAGGATTGTCAGACAGTGTAGAAGCCAGAGGTTCAAGATTTCGTATACAAATAGGATTCACAGGAACATTACACAAGATTCGTCCTTATCCCCATGTAAACAGTTGAAACCATTTGCTATAATAAGGCAGGGAAGGGTTGTTGTGTTTTTTTGGAGGGTAGAAGTGAGGTTTTATTTATTTATTCAATTTCTGTAGCTGTCCAACTCAAATAAATGACTTATAATTCTAAAATTATAAAACAAAACCATTAAAAAAAAATCAAAACAATAAAAATATCCACAAAATAAATAAGTTCAAAAAGCAGCTCTAATTATCAATAAACTAATTGTAAAGCCAAGTCAAGTATCTGGGCCCTTAATACATTCTGAACCCCAGGCCCAGGTACATAACCAAGTTTTTAAAGCTTTGTAAAAAGCCAACAGGGTTGGGAACCATTCTAATCTTCAAGAGCAAAACATTCCATAAGGCAGGGGCTACAGCAATGGCTGGCTTGATGCAGATGAAGTCATCATTTGTTAAAATTGGAGAATTCCAAATTGAAGAGATGTAATTAAAAATTGATATATAGACAAATAAAGGCAATCTGTTTCAAACATAATAACTTACTTTGGCCTTTGAGATATTGAAATATTTTTTTCTAGTGCTACATTTTTTATATTCTTGAAAATTACCATAAAGGCTTCTTTAAGTCCTTGAAAGATGATGGTACTTCTTCATAATTAATGGCAGAATCCAATTTCTAGCGTTAGAAAAGGAAAAGTGATATCTTGCTTGGATAAGTTAAATTTAAGATATGCCACTCTTCTGCATGAGTACCATTAACACTTACAGTATTGGTGTAAAACTATTTTTTTTTTGTTACGTCTTGTAGAAAGCAGTGCAAGATGTTGTTACTTTTGCATGGCAAGTGTCCCAACCATTTCTATTTGGACTAATCGGAGCTGAAATCTCCATTACTTCCCTTGGATCAGAAACTGTTGGTAAGTTTGCATACAAGAGGTATTCCGAAATATTGTGCCTGGCTTCCTTATGAGAAGAACAAGAATCTTAGTCAGAATGGACCATGAACCATGATTTAAAATTATATTATTGTTTATAGCAATATATTGTATAGTTGAGTGCTTCTTCTAAAACAGAACACCCTTATATTTCTCCATGGAGAAAACTTATTTTTTAAAAAAAAATGTTATTGGTCATGCAACTAAAACTCTGTTTATACACACTCTGTTTATTCACTCCTGATGAATAGCTTTCAGGTCTGACCTGAAAAACCAAGGCATATATGAAGTCCCCTGTGCATCATGCCCTGCCACATACATTGGACAGACCAATAGAAGAATAAGTACCCACCTGGATGAACACAAAAATGCAGTAAAAAAGCTGGAACACACTTCCTCACTAGTCCAACACATGAAAGCCACAGGTCATAGCATTGACTTCAATGGCACCAAAACCCTAGCCACTATTGAAAACCCCAGCCACAGAATTATCAGAGAAGCCATAGAGATTGAAAAAAGACCTGAAAGCATGAATAGAAGAGATGATTCCACCAGACTGTCAATTATTTGGAAGCCTGCACTTACAAACAAAAAAATCTCCACACCACAAGCCAGGCAAACATCTGGGCACAAACAGATCCCCCCTGATACCTCCAGCTCAAACACACCCCAACCAGGCACCCAGATGAAACCTAGCTTCCTAATAAATGATAGCCGTCCATTTACTCGGAGCCAAGCCGCACTAAAAGCCTCCAATACAGGAAACACAATGTTGCCAGCCAATCAAGACAAAAAAAGCCACAAAACAGACAGAAGATATTAGAAACACCAATCAAGCAGAACACAGCAAACTCCAAGACCAATAAACACAGACCAAGACTCCCAAGCAATCAGGATTAAGAAAAAAAAACATTCTGGCACAGCAGTAGGCTAGCCCCAAATTTATTCAGCTTTGTTTGGGTATTTTCCCACATCATTATAGTTGTGCTTGTAAAGTTGTAGATATATATATATATCTACAATATATATATAACTATATATATATTGTGAATTATTTAACTGAGGCAACTAAGAATCCCAAGATGAATGTTTGTATAAATATTATAGTTTAAGTAGATTTCAGTATATAAAATAGTTTTCCAAGACAAGTATGATGGTGAAAATTATCATTGCCTGGCATTTGCTTTTATAAATATTATCTCAGTCCAAGCGTAACAATTAAGTCTCTCTCTCTACTTCAGGGCTTTGTTTGTCCACTATGTTTTTAGCTTTAATGGCTCGAATTGTGGCTACGTTTTTGTTGGTGAGTTTCTCTGGCTTTCATTGGAAGGAAAAAATATTTATTGCACTGGCATGGATCCCCAAAGCAACTGTCCAGGTAGAGTATTTTTGCTTATTCGACCCGAACCTTATGTAAACAAGGGAGTTGCACCAATGAAGACATGTAAACATATTTAAATACGGGATAGAGTGCGGTAGTGTGGGGAAGAGAGAAAATATGAGAATGATTCTCTTCTACTCAGAAGTACCGACTCTTGACTGATGATGAAACTTTAAAAGCTTATAGGCCTTCAGTTGATTTTGACATTAAAGAATAGATCATCTCTGCTGAACTAAACTTTGACTATCTTATACCTCTGACTATGCTGGCTACAAATCTATTGGGGGGTTTATAGTTCAATATGATCTGGAAGGCCAATTGCTGCACACTCCTGATCTCCAGAACAAAGTGGTGAAAAGTTCTTATCTTGGATTGAAAATGACAGATTTCCCTTGCCTGGGATTCTCTGGCAGCACTGCAGTGTGTGTATATGTTGTGAATGCTGCGTGTTTGAAAAGAAGAGAGAACACAGAGAACTCCACAGAGAACTCGGTATGTGTCAACCTGCTGTCTTCTGGCAGATACTTTCTGCCTGGCCACAATATATCCCTCAGCCCTGCTTTGGGATCCAAACATTTCTTTGCACCTGTTCCAATATAATGGTCTTCCTTTTGAATTCCTGCGCTTGAGTCAGGTAAGGCAGACTGATATCAAGGAGGCCCTTTGGATTATGGCAAGGACATTCTTGGGAAACTTCACACACACTGTTTCCTACATGGTTTCTACACCACCTGTGACAAAAGTTATTTCTTCCAATGTATCAATGCTGGCTATTCGCAACAGTTAATCCTTTACAGTTTTAGAGTGTTTTATAGCATTTTATGTTTTTTAATGCAAATATGGTAGTCATGTTATTTGTCTATCATTTTTATTTAATTGTTTATCAATGCTGTTAAGAAAATATATTTAAATACAAATGCATTGATACATTTCATCCACAGTACTGCTTAGAAAAGGAAATTCACAAGAAATATAAAAATTCAATTTCAAGGAAATTAATTTATCATGCAGTACTGATGAGAGGAAAGTGACATAGTCTTTGAACTAAAGTCAATAACAGAGAAACAACTACACCCTTCAGTCCTAGGTATAAGCAAGAAGAAATAATGGTTATGAGATAGATGGTTAAAGCTCTTTTTCACTATGATCAATAAACAGTATCATGACTCTTTCTACTAAAAACTGAGGTTGTATACACATTTATTTAGAATAAGTACCATTGATCTTAGTAATTTAAACTTTTTTAGTAGACCTAAAAGCCAAAGAAGTCTCAAAGCCTCATGTAGCCAATCAAATTTTTTGAAGACTCCCAAGTAGATATAAACATCCTCAAAAGGAACACACATAAGGGCATTTGGGAGTCTGATATAGTCATTATGAACTTTAGCTAATTGGGTTCTTGTGGCAAAAAACCCAATAAGTATGCCTTTAAAAACATATCATTATGTCCATAAGGTAAGAACGCTAACTGATCACCCTTATTTTTTTTCAAATAAAGACATGTCCATTATAGCTTTTTTATTTTATAACTGAGGCCACCAGAAATACAATACTTCTCAGGTATAAATATACTGGTCTGAAACATAACATGTATAAGATTTTTATTTGGATTGAAGCATCAGAATACTGAGTTTATTTGGGGTGTTAGACATTTAAAATGGTGCCATGCTGCAAGTTTCCAAATGCTCTTGATGAGTAGAGAATCTTTTCCAATCTAAACTGCCTCCAAATCTGTGGAGTTTAATTCCTAAAATTCTCAGAAATGGCCATGCTGCTTGGAGTATTATGGAAGTCAAAGCACACAGAAAGATATACTCCAATTGTGAAATGCTGTGCTAGAATAATATAGAAGACAATGAGAAGCTGTCTGAGAAAAGTCTTAACCGAGCAAACAAGATTTGAGGCATTGGTCTCCAAATAGGAGAACTTTGAGGGATATGGCTGACTGCTGATAGACAGGAAAAAAGAAAGTTCTCCCATAAACTTAAGGTGCAATGGAGAAACCTGCTTCACTAAGTGTGCTGATCTACTTTGTCTAGGTTTTTGGTAGCCCAGTAGGTGAACTCAAATATTGTGATTTCTCTTTATGCCATAATGTGATGTTTGAATCATAACAACAATCATATCAACCAATCATGGCTATAGAAACCATGATGTAATGCGATATATGAGCCCAGATCAGTGACTTTTTTTAAAAAAAAAATCTGTTTGCAGGCTGCAATTGGTTCTGTTGCCTTAGATACAGCACGAGGTTACAAAGATAAAGTGCTAGAAAAATATGGCCTGTACATCTTGACAATAGCTTTCCTTGCAATCTTGATCACCGCTCCTGCTGGAGCTGTGATAATTGGACTGGCTGGACCCAGACTTCTCCGCAAGAGTACCAAAGGCAATGAAGATAACCTAGCAATAGACAGTCTTTCACCAGAAGAGAAAACTTAGACTTTATTTTAAATTCAGATTTAACTCTGATGTTTGAGATTAAACAGAAAAGAAATGAAAATGTAATTATGGATCAAATTAAACATTTATTCCTTGTGTGAGCAACAATAAAATCATAGTACTGCATGATGCTTTGTTTTCAAACCTGTGATCAACCTTGTATTTTATATAATAAAAATATAATATCCTCAGCATTTCTGCCCAGTATTTATGGACTCTCCTGGTGGATGAAAAAAAATCATTTTCAAAACAGAAGGCTTGGATCTTAAATTTGCTTTCTCAAGCAAAATAAGTAATATTCTTGCCACTTGTGTATTTCATTTATCTGTCTTCCAGAACTCTTGAAGCTTTGTTTAGTGGTTTAAGAAACTTTACAGTTAGCACTGAAAGTGACATTTGTTGTAATTATTCTCTCCTTCAAAGGAAAGGAAAAGTTTCTTGGGGCCTTTTTTATGAGACAACTCACAACTCAGTTCTACATTATTATGTATCAACTTATACCTACCTGATTTCCTGTTATGTTGGAGGACAACATTTTCAGTGATAGTAAAAATTGTAATATATAACTAGCTCATTTTTTTCTCACATAGATATATCAGATCCATATTTTTCAACCTTGGCAAAAAAAAATATATTTTTATTTTCAAATTTAAACATTTTATTGGATTATAGGAAAAAATACAAAAGCAAATAGTAAGACCTTGGCAATTTTAAGATGTGTGGTCCGTTTGGAGAATTCTAGGTGTTGGTCCATATTTGTTTACTTATTTGACATTTTGAGGGTTCTTGAAATTTCCTCCAGCTCATAATTAATATCATTGTATTATATCATACATTTCAGGAAAGAGCCTTGGTCTCCATGACCAGAAATATTTAAAAAATGCAAACATTGCTTCTTAAAAAATAAAGTGATCATAAAAAAAGAATACACAGTTAAGCTACTTTCCATAAGAAAAAAATGATTTTTTTCTCTTGAAAAAATTGAAAGAAACTGATAATATCTCTACATTTCTAGCAACAGTACATCTGTGGTTAAGTATACAGACAAGGGACTTACAGAATTAATAGAAATATTTGGGACACCAGATGCAGAATTTATGTTTTACAAACAACCCTTTCACTAGATAGGAAACTAACAAAGTAAACTGCTTTGTTAAAAAACTAGATTCTGTTCATGGGGAAATCTCTGAGATTCAGGAGGATGGAGAAAAGGAATCTATTTTTTCTTTGACTGAGGATTGGAAAATATGAGAAAAAATATTAGAATGTAGCATAAGCAGATTGGTTTGAGGGAAACAGTAGGTTTAGTAGCAAATAAGCTGATTTACTGTAGTTCATTTAATGCATCCAGTAATACTCAACATAATGAATTGTGCAAATAAAATAGGCAATTCTCAGACTGAACTATTCTGTATTTCAAAATATCAATACATAATGCCATAATTTCTAAATCACAGACAAGCCAAATTATATACAATCTGTATCACCTCTGAGAAGCAGAAAACACTCTGCTCCTAGTTAGTAGATATCTTTAATCATTCTCAAAGAAGGCTATCTGGAGTTCTGTATAAAAGTGATTCCTGTACATACTCAATGTTCAAACTGAACTACTGGCTTGCATACAAATTCCTAAACCCATTTAAGACCAAACTCATGACTGTCTTTCACAACCTCCAAAAATCACTTACCAGTTTTGTGGCAAACTGGCACTACAGCTGATGTAAAATCTGTGAAATTTGCAGTGTAGATGGCACCTGTAGTTAGAATAAAGGTGACTGCTTGTCTATCTATCATCTATCTAATATTTGTTATAATTCCTGTAGTTTTGAGGAAAGTAGTACTAGTTCTTGCAAAAGTTTAAAAAAAAACTATTCTTCACTAGTGATAAACAGTCTGCAGGAATATTCTACCCCAAAGTGTACAATCGTGACTTTTAAAAGAAGTGAACCACTCTGTATCATAAGAAGCAAGAATGACCTTAAGTAAAAAGAATACCACAAATAAATAAAATAACTTCAATAAAACAACTCACTGTTTTAGAGCACCAGCATCTGCAGTACACTGCCTAAGTGTGACATAGATCCTCAGTGTTGATTTTGTGTACTTCTTTGGGATTCTCCTTCTGGATCTTGAGATTAATCAAGCTGTCCTTCTGCTGTTTCTTCTTGGGAAGGAATGGGCGAATAGCAAGATACTCCAGCAGAGCAAGGACACCCAGGAAAGGCAATAACCGCAGCCATTCTGAAACTGAGCACATGCCACAACCATATTATAGAGCAATATTCTGCAGCAACGTATTTCAACTTCATCCTTCATTATCAAGTACTTTTGTTCTAAGAACAGATTACAAACCCATGCAGCAACTATTAAAAGTACTTTCCAGTCTCGCACTAGTCTTATAACTTGTATGTAATTTGCAGTACTAAGTGCAAAACAGTGACACCCAGTAGAACACAAAAAGGCTATGATGACAGGAAGCCTTGCTCTTATGGTCACTCCATGGATTATTTGTAATGTGGATTTATTATTTTGTTAAATCATCCGCTTATTAGTTTTTCCTTCCTAGATAGGTTTACATAATGAGAGAACACGATAGGCTAAAATGTATTGGGGAATTCGGGATTGAATATGTTAAAGAAAATATATCCTAGCATGTTGTGTTAAGCAGACTATCCCATTAACCATACCAATGTTCATTAGTATAAACCACACCAAACCTTCTATTCTGATGTAACATTAATCGGTTTTAATCATCATTACAGCCAGTACATGTTGTCTTATGCCTGATCTGTTGTTTTTTTCTTCCCCAATTTACAGAGGGAGAGACTGGAGGGGAAGGGATTACAAGAGAGTAAACTACACAGTGGGGAATACACTGGTATGTTTTCATAGCATGCTCGTGGCTGTTGGAACCAGTGCATTGCTTTCAATGTGTATTCCCCATTGTGTGCATGTTTATTCTCTTGTAATCTCTTCCTCTCCAATGAATGTATACAAACATTATTTCCCTTCTTGTTAATTCTCCCAGTGCCACAATTAGCATTCCAAAGGACATGGGGAGTGGTTAGGAGAAAACAAAACTGAATGTGTGAAACAGATTAATCTGTTATTTTTGAGCCAGAAAGCACAATTTTGGTCACATAATTTTCTACCATACAAACTGCTTTGCTTAATGACAAAGGTGCTAGTCCCAACTGTGGGATTAACACCTTTGTCCCACTAAACAAGGACTACATGTACCTCTAATACAGCATTTTGAATGGAGACAGATATTTCCCTCTGTCAAGCAGTCATATATCTTCTGCAGAGAACAGATACAAATTGCAGAGTGATAGCACCAATTTTAGTACACCAATATAAAAAGCAGAGTCATTTGGGGAATGATATGGTACACTGCAGAATAATTCTTTGGAACAGAAACAGGAAATGAGAGCAGGAAGATATAACTATAACACAATGCAATGCCAAATCTAGCAAGTTTTTTCCTGCTTCTTCATCTTGCATCCAAATTAAGTAGAAATCAATTTTTGCATTTTCTGCTGAAGCCCAACATTAATAAACAAGGAAGAAGTAAGAAAGATGATGATTTATGTCCTCACAAAAATCATCATAATGACGGGATCCCCAATTATAACTTTAAAAAAGGCAACTATGATCTTATAGACAACAATCTCTCATCCCTTGATTGGCAATCTCTATTCACCGGATGCAATACTGTCGAAGACCATTACAATATATTTTTACTTGAAGTCAAAAGAGTCATCAAACTATATGTACCATTAACAACTCCCAAAACCAGAAAAAAACAAATTACCCAAAACAATAAGGAAGCTCCAATCCAAAAAGAAATCACTTTGGCGGAAAAACAAATTTGGCCATGTTGCCAACTTTAAAAGCCGATATAAAAATTTATGCCACCAGATAAAGACTGAATGAACCAATTATCACATTAAACAAGAGGAAAATCTACACACAAATTCCACCTGTGCTTTCTACAATTTTGTAAACAACAAGCTTAAAGACTTGAGGTCCATCCCACCCCTAAAAGGACCTAATGGTAAAGACTGTAATGATGAAACCATTAAAGCCAACCTCTTTAACACATTCTTTGGCTCAGTCTTTGTAAACAGCAATGGATCATGCCCAATAATTCCTAGTTGAACCACTTACAACTACAACAATCTAATACATATCGATTTTACAGAAGATAATGTTGAAAAAGCACTATGCAATCTAAAACCATCTCTATCTATTGGACTGGATGGACTATATGCCTACTTCTTAAAAAAACTATCCACTGCCATAGCAGAACCTCTAAGCATAATCTTTGAAAAATCTTTCAGGACCAGCTCCTTGCCAAACCTATGGTCACTAGCCACGGTCATCCCCATCTTCAAAAAGGGAGACCCCAGCCTAGTTGAAAATTACAGACCAATCTCTTTATTTTGCATCACCTGTAAAGTCATGGAATCAATTAATATCCTCCACTGAGACAAACAACCTACTCTCTAACAAGCAATTTGGTTTCAGAAAAAAAAAACTATCCTGTAATCTGCAACTGCTACACTGCAAAAACATATGGACTACACAACTCGATCAAGGAAAAGCAATAGATGCTTATTTACATAGACTTCTGTAAAGACTTTGATTCAGTGGTACATGACAAACTACTTCTAAAACTAAAACCTTATGGTATCTCCAGACACCTGCATCACTGGATAGCTGCATTCCTGTTGAACAGGCAACAATAGTCAAAATAGGGAGCGCCCTATCAAATCCTGTATCTGTCAACAGTGGTGTCCCCCAAGGCAGCGTTCTAGGACCAACTCTCTTTATACTCTACATAAAGATTTCTGTGGTCATATTAAGAGCAACTGCTTTCTTTTCACTGATGATGTACAGCTATTCAACACCACTGACAATACTGCTAGCCTTCAAAAAGACCTCAACTATGTGTCAGAATGGTCAAACAAGTGGCAACTTCAAATTTAAACAAACAAATGCTCTGTTTTACATATTGGCAAAAAAATATATATCAGAAAATAAAATACAAGCTGAATAGTCAAGACCTTGTTGATGACCCCCACTATGTCAAGGACCTTGGAATACTCATCTCTAATGATCTAAGTGCTAGAGCCCACTGTAACTACATAGCCAAAAAGGCATTAAGTGTTGTTAACCTAATCCTGCGTAGCTTTTTCTCCGGTAATATCGCACCACTAACTACAGCATACAAAACATTTGCTAGACCAATACTTGAATACAGCTCATCAGTCTGGAATCCACACTACATATCTGATATTAATACAGTCGAGAAAGTCCAAAGTGTAGTACATAAAATGATCTACTGCAATGTCCTACATGTCAATGAATACTTCAGCTTCAACCACAACAATACAAGAGCACACAATAGATACAAACTCAAGGTTAACCGCACCAAACTTGATTGCAGGAAATACGACTTCAGCAACAGTCCTCAACGTCTGGAATACTCTACCTGACTCTGTGGTTTTTTTCCCCAAACCCCAAAAACTTTAACTTTAGACTGTCTACTATTGACCTCATCCCTTTCCTAAGAAGTCTGTAGGGAGCATGCATAAGCACACCAACGTGCCTATGTACCTGTCCTAATGTATCTTTTTATTCGCATGCATTTCATGTATTCATAACTATGTTTATACTTATACCTGTTATCTAAAACTTGCTTGACAAAACAAACAAACAAACAAACAAATAAATAAATAAAAATATAAAAACAGATAATCAAGTTGGTTTGTCACACAAACACACTCTATGTAGGAGAGGTCTTCAAACTTAGCAAGTTTAAGACTTGTGGACTTCAACTCCCAGAATTCCTCTTCCAGTCATGTTAGCTCAGGAATTCTGGGAGTTGAAGTCCACAAGTCTTAAACTTGCCAAGTTTGAAGACCCTTGCTATATAGTAGTATGTCAAAAGAAGATGCAGGATATTCTTCCAAGTTGTATTTTGCTGCTGTTTTCCTTTAGTGCATGTAACACATCATTAGGCTAAAAACAGACCAAATAGTTTGTGATTTAGCATATTTTTTGTTTCATTACTTTAATATGTAAACAAAATGGGGGGGAAAGCAAAGGGGAGACTCATAAAAACAACAGAAAGAAGAAAAGAAACAAAAGCACGTCACATTTCACATAATAAATCATTCCACTTAAATTTTAAACATATCATTACATCCTAACCTCACATTTTTTCCAACACATTGATAAAAAGCAAGTTAATAAATAGAAAGGGAACATAGTATCTTTCCAATAACGTCTTTTTCATTCTTGTTCAATAATCTATAATTCTTTATATAAAAATACATTCCACGTTTTTGGCATGATTTAAAAGGTTTACTTCTTTAAACCATAACAATCTTCCAAAAACTCATTTACTGATTATAAAACCAAAACTGGGCTATAATGAGTCAAGCCTGTATCGTTAAAATGTCCCCTGAGCCATTTACACCAACATAATGAGGTTGACAGTGAAATCTTTTAAAACATTATCAAGTAAAATTTAAAAATTATTTTGTTGAATTTGTCAGATTTAACAGTGGTGCTTTCTAATGGAACGCGGTGGCTCAGTGGCAAAGATGCTGAGCATGTTGATCAGAAGGTCGGCAGTTCAGCGGTTCGAATCCTTAGGGCCGCATAATGGAGTGAGCTCCTATTACTTGTTCCAGCTTCTGCCAGCCTAGCAGTTTGAAAGCACGTAAAAAATGTAAGTAGAAAAATAGGGACCACTTTGGTGGGAAGTTAACAGTGCTCCGTGTGCTTTGGTGTTTAGTCATGCTGGCCACATGGCCACGGAGATGTCTTTGGACAGAGCTGGCTCTTCAGCTTAGAAACGGAGATGAGCACTGCCCCCTAGAGATGGAAATGACTAGCATGCATTTGTGGGGGAAGAACCTTTACTTTTACCTTATGGTGCTTTCTGAGTTGATTGTTTTCTTACAGACATTTCATTACCCAACTAAGTTCTTACAGACATTTCATTACCCAACTGTTCACTGATGACATCTAGTTGAGTAATGAAAGGTTTGCAAGAAAACAACCAAGTTTAAAGAGCACCAGAGGACCCCACAATTTCATTTTAGCTTGGCATCATGAGTTTCCACAGGTAGAGCAGCAAATGACTGAGCAGGTCACAATATCATAATGCACAATATCTTTTGTACTTGCATCACGATTCAGAAATGCATACTTCGACTTCGATTCTATGGAGATTCTCAGTCATCCAGGTCATGGTTGTCCCAAAGGTGCTTTTTTCAAGAGGCAACTGGACTTTCTGGTTTTTCTTTGAAGACGTTTTGCTTCTCATTCTTCAGCTCTGGCTCTTCAGCTTCTTCAGAGCTGAAGAAGCTTCTTGGATGAGAAGCGAAACGTCTTCAAAGAAAAACCAGAAAGTCCAGTTGCCTCTTGAAAAAAAGCACCTTTGGGACATACTTGGACTTGTATTAGGAAAATTGCCACAGATACCCATGCTTGGCCCGTTGTATAAATTTCACCTCCCTATTCATTTTTATCAAAAAGCTTTGCCTCTGATCCTTACCGTGCTCATTTGATACATTTCTTCAGTCGATCGGCGAATCACTGATGAGCCTCCTCTGAGTATGACGTTTGAACTGACTGCTACATTCACTCTCTCTTTCTCCCTTGTCCTTTCATTATTTGCTATCCGGTTGCAAAGGTAGGAAAAAGCTAAAGAAGGCAATAGCTGTTACTATGTCAGTCCGCTGGGTCACCGGAGGGTGGGGGCTGAGCTCAGGATTTCCTCCAAGGATTTCCTTGCGCGGAAATGCAGAAAAAAAGCAAGCCGGGGCAATTCTTACTGCAGGACAATTACAGACACCCCCACCCCACCTCCACGGAGCCCCACAGCAGCGCCGTTGAACTAGATGCCCTTCGGCGGGCGGGCAGGGAGGCAGGACCGTTATTTCTCTCAGAGCAGCTCGGGACGTTTAATGGGTCAGTGCCGCTATCCTCGCCTTTTGTAACCAACACTCTGAGAGGGCCGCGGGATGCCCTCAAGGGGAATTTAGAAGCCAGTTGCAAAGGTTCACCTACAGCCCCTTCAGCCGTGTACCAGGGTTTAGGAAACCAGAAAGACTAATTTCGTGTAACGTGGGAAGTCCAGGCCAAACAAACCCTGAGGCTGTTCAGCGAGATGAATAAGTCCAGTCCGCCACATGCTGTTCCTGAAGATGAACATGGAAAGCAACCCTATAATCTTGTGAACGCCCGATGAGAATGCAACAAATTTGCTTTTCTGAGATATATAAATCCTTTCCCACCCCAGATTTCCTTCCCCCAAATCCACAGATCTATGTTGCTATGGAGATTCTTAGCTATCCAGGTCATGTTGTCCCAAAAGCGCTTTTCCAAAAGGCAAAACTGAACTTTCTCGGTTGTTTTCTTGAAAATGTTTAGCTTCTCATCCTGGATACAAAATTAGTTGCCTTTTGAAAAAGCACCTTTGAAACCACAGATCTGTGCTTGATTTTACCATAATCCCTACCTGGAGGAGACAGACTTATAGGAGTCTGTCTTAAACCAGGAACAAAATGGGGCAGATGTCATTTTAGAAGTGCAGGTTTATCTAACCCAAAAATCAAAATACCAAAACGGAGTGTGAAGTCAGGACTTAATTCCAATATGCATAAGTATAAAGCACGTAAGTATGACTTCTCTGATTTCATTGAGATTTGTTCTAAGATTAGCATAGGGCTTCAGCTAGATCAGGGGTCCCCAAACTTGGCAACTTTAAGACTTGTGGACTTCAACTCCCAGAATTTCCCAGCCAGCATAGCCCTCAGTTTTTTGAGGTTATTCTCAAGAAAATATATTTAGGAACATTAGTTGTGTCAGAGGTGTTGATATAATCTTTTTTATTTTAAAAAATAGCAAAGAATGTGAACTAAAGTAGACAATTACCACGTGCAGATGAATACCTCTACCAATATTGTTCAGAATTTTTTGCCTTGTCTGTTCTAATATCTTAAATATTGCATGAAAATAGAATTTATTAAAAGAAAGATTTAGTTTTGGTGATCCACACTAAAATTTTGTGCCAAAAAGTCAAGGAAAACCAAATTCTTTTGCTTTTGGAGTATTGTGCAGCTCCTTCATAGCACTTCATGAACCCTGGCACATACTCTGGGCTAATGATTAGAGGATATCATTGATGGTGATATGTTTCCAAAAAAAATTAATGTAAATGTTATCATGTTTTCTTTGTTCATGATATAGTTATGACAAGCAAAGTTAAAGAAATGAAATTATCCCACATCTAGATGTATGATTTCTGTTAAACTGAAACCAAAACTTCTAGTGAAGGGGATCAAATGTTTTTTTTGGAAATCTGTGTGATTCAAATAGAAGACAATTCACATGCAACTTTATTGCTTAAAGAGCACCTATTATTTAGGGACAATACATTGCACATTTTTTATGTCGATAATAGTGTTTGCCTCAACATTCAAAGAGCTCAGTGTTCATTTTTGTTTGGACGAAAAGGCTTATGACTTTTATTTATTTACTAATAAACACATTGAGTTGAGGAACAGTTTAAAAGTTCCAACAAACAGCTAAGTCCTTTCATTTTCTTTTAATTATATTTATCTCTGCCTCAATCTATGATTTAGATAGAGTCTCCAATCTATGGATATTCTAGGAAAATTATTTTTTAATAGATTAGTAATAAATAATACTTTTAATTGGCTTGCCTGGAAATGCCAAGAAACAAGTTTGTGGTTTTATCCTTGAATCTTTGAATCTGAACATAGATTCTTTTTATTGGTTTGTTGCATTTATTTTCTCTGCAATGTCATGTTTTATTGATTAATTCTCCTTGATACAAATGTGGAGGGAGTATCAAAGACTTCTCAAGAAATACAATATACAAATCACAGGACACCATGAGAACCTGTAATGTTCAATATGTAACTCCATTTTTTACTTTTATGTCATAGAGGGCATAGGTTTGGGGGAAAATGGAAAAGAATATGAAGAAGGAGAAAGCTTAGTATTTCCTAGTGTGATTAGATTAATTATTCTTGCAATAGTTCTCTGTGTTACCCTGGTGGAATTTCTTTCCTACCTGCTATGCCTGTGAAAGAGAGAGACCATACTGTGCCGGAGGAAAAATAAGTTCCCATCATGCTTATAAAAACTTTAAAAAATAAAACATAGCTATACAAGGGATATGTATAGAGTATATGTTTACTTATTTACATACATAAACACACACATTTAGAAAGTCACTAGGACTTATTAATTTCTCATCCCAAACACCTCAATTTTTTAAAAAAATAAAAAGTGCTTTCACTAATAGTGGCATGCTAATTCCTACTTTTAATTGGCTTGCCTAGAAACCTTTGAAGCTTTTAAAAATATGGAGAATACAGAATGCTTCCCTGTTGAAATAATCCTGAAATTGTTTTTGTCCACTATGGGGAAAGTTTTATTGTTACCAATAAACACTCAAGACAAAAACAAAAACTCTCTCACACTTAAGCCCAACTTTGGTTGACTTCCATAAACAGGGGCTTTTGGCCATATTACAGAAATCAGGCCCAAGGCCTGGAGGGACCCAGTGTTAGTGGGAAAAGGCCAATGGGGCTCAAGGGGCAGGAAACACAGAGCATGGGGCATGTTGTTTGGACATGTGGTGAAGTGTCCAGAAAAAATATATAAGCATCACTGTATGCATCACATGCTAGAGGATATAATGGATAGTGGAGATCTATTTTATATTCTTTCTTCTAGTAAATAAGTGCTTGTGATTGATCATGCCTTCTGTGGAAGCTGTTTTGTTTGGGCAAAACTTCCAAATGTGTGTGCACTCCAAAAGCTGGGGTTAAAGCAAAGGTGTCCTCTTATTTTGATATTAATTCTTGTAGGATCTTGGAAAAGGAATTTACATTTTATGTGACTATACAATGTCTAAGATTTGTTTTGATTTCAGGCCATTTCTTCAACAGAACAAATAGTTGGTATAACAGCTCAATCTAGCATCATTTGCTGTTTCCTTATTTGTTTGCCTGGGTCCTTTGGAGCAACTGATATTTTCCAGAACATACAGCTTAATATATGTAAAATATGGACCATCACCACCTAATGTTACTCTTGCACATGGGAATCTGAACTTAACTATGTACATTGTACAAGATGTACAGGTAGATTAGATACACAGGCCAAGAACTGGAAAATATGGGGGAAAGCATTATATTATTTAAAGTTCAGAGTGCTATACTGTTCATGTACCATGAACTAATTTGCTTAAGGGAAGAAGTGATTTAGTAGCAAATAAGTTAATTACTATAGTTTATTTAATACAGCCAGTTATTACTCAACATCATGAATTTTGCAAATAAAATGGACAGTTCTCAAACTGAACTATTTTGCATTTCAAAATATCAATACATAATGCCATAATTTTTAAACCACACAGACAAGACAATTATATACAATCTGTATCACTTCTGAAAACACTCTGCTCCTAGTTTGTGGATCTCTTTAATTGTTCTCAAAGAAAGTGATTCCTGTACACACTCAATGTTCAAAGTGCTGGCTTGTATGCCCACTTAAGACCAAAATCATGACCATCTTTGACAACCCCCAAAAATTCCCAGTTTTGGGCAATCTAGGCGTACAACTGATTTAAAATCTGTTAAATCTGTAGTGTTGATACAATGTAGTTAGAATAGAGGTGTCTGTCTGTCTGTTTGTCTATCAATCATCTATTTAATATTTGTTACAATTCCTGCACTTCTGGAAAAATAATTCTGCTATGATTACAAAGCATAGATATAGTACATTTTTGTTGTATAAAACACATTACTAAATATCTAGCACAAAATATAAATTTAATATAATCTAAAAATATACTAAAATGTAACCCTGTGATTATTATAAGACTGAAAGTCCGACATATACATATACAAGTGGACTTCCCTTCAGTCACAGCATATTTAAGAGTTTGTTAGATTTCTTTTTTCCTTAGTATTAAAGGGCCCACATTATCTCCCGTTGACTCGTTGTGTTTGTTGTGAGAGCCATCACAGACAGGGAACTGAAACAAAAACAAACAGAGAAAAAGTAGGTGACCTGGAATGTTAATGGTTTTAGGACTATAATTGAGATTGAGGGACAGGTTACCCTCAAATACATTAATAAACACAATACAAACTCAGATGAGGTTGGTAGGCTAGTGTGGGTAATAAATCACCAAGGAGAAGTATCCAAAATGTAAACTGAAATCTAAATGACTCTCTTGGTGCTTTAAATTATATACTATGTTTATTTATCACCAATACTAAGAGCCATTGAACAAGTTGAGTATCTAATGTGTATTTTTAAAAACAATGGCTTAAACAGGAGTAAGCAGTGATTAGAAATGAATAGCTACAAAAATATTCTGTCCAAAATCTATTCCTATTTATGTAGTTTAACCTCAACAATTGACTTGGCTTGACTTGGCATATATTAAGGTACAAAAGTGTGGTTTAGAAATCACAATAGCCTTGGTTTAAAACATCTACATTACTAAACCACATTACTTTGAGATTTCAATTGGTATTGGCTGACTTTTCTTATTCATGTGGTGGCAATAAAATTGTATTAAATGTTATATACAATATACAGAGGATTCTGCTTAGTGTAATCCACAAATTAAAAGAATTGAGTCATAGTTGCCTATTTGTAAATGTCAAATCATAAATTACAACACCATAATATTATTTGGCTCTATAGCCAAATTCAGTTATGGTTTATGATCAGTTAGCATAACAAGACATGATTTGTAACAGTTGTCCTAATGATGGAATGGCATGCTATCCTTAATTAGTTAAATAAAATGGACAAATCATAGCTGTTGTTCTTCTCCAGCAAATTCATCCTTGCAGTTCCGCAACGTGTCAGAAACTAAATGAAAGCAAAGAGCTTTAAAATCATGGTGAACACATATGAATTTGCCAAACTACCAGGGCCAAGTTAGATGTCCATGCAATTTATATGTTCACAAAACATGTATAAAGCTCTCAGGCATTACTTTTCCAATGATCCTGGAAGACTATGGACAAAAATGTTTTTCTAGCTACTGAATAGATTAAAAAATGCAGGTATTTAATATTAGTATTAATTCTTCACTGATGATATGCACCAAGACAAATTCCCTGTGTGTGTCCAATCACACTTGGCCAATAAAGTATTCTGTTCTGTTCAATTCCATTCTATTATTAAAAGTTTGTAGAGCATTCTGCCCTCAAGTGCACAATCGTGACTTTTAAAAGAAGCGAACCACTCTATATCATAAGAGACAAGAATGATCTTAAGTAAAAAGAGTATAGCAAATTCAATAAAACTCACTGTTTTAGAGCGCCAGCATCTGCAGTACACTGCCTTAGTGTGACATAGATCCTCAATGTTGATTTCGTTTACTACTTTGGGATTCTCCTTCTGGATCTTGAGATTAATCAAGCTGTCCTTCTGCTGTTTCTTCTTGGGAAGGAATGGGCGAATAGCAAGATATCCCAGCAGAGCAAGGACACCCAGGAAAGGCAATAACCGCAGCCATTCTGAAACTGAGCACATGCCACAAGCATGTTATAGAGCAATATTCTGCAGCAAACCTTATACAAACATATACAAACATTAATTCCCTTCTTGTTAATTATCCCAGGGCCAGGACTAGCATTCTAAAGGATTGGGAATGGTTAGGAGAAAAAAAAACAATGTGTGAAACACATTAATCTTGTCCGTTTTCAGCCAGATAGTACACTTTCAGTCCCATAATTTTGTACTATGCAAACTGCTTTGCTTAATGACAAAGGTGCTGGTCCCAATTGCGGTCACTAAAGAATGACATCTAATACAGTGTCTTGAATGGGGACAGATATCCCCCTCTGCCAGGCAGCCACATATCCTCTGCAGAGAATAGATAAAAATTGCAGAATGATATCACCAATTTTAATATAAAAAGCAGTCATTTTGGGATGATATGGTACAGTAGAATTCTTTGGAACAGAAATAGGAAATGAGGGCAGGAAAGTATAACTAAGAGCACAATGCAATGCCAAATGTAACAAGTCTTTCTTGCTTCTTCATCTTGCATCCAAATGAAGTGGAAATCAATTTTACACTTTCTGCTGAAGGCCAACATTAACAAGGAACAAGTAGAAAGGAAAATATAAAAACAGATAATTGAAATTGGTTTGTCATACAAAGACACTCTATATGCTGAAAGAAGATCCAACATGTCCTTTCAAATTGAATTTTGTGCTA